GCTTGGATTTCACTGATGCTCAGACATCAAATATAATCAAAAATTTCTTGGTCTGTGATTCCTGAAGAAAAGAGAATAGCTAAGAAGCGGTCCTGTCCACGTATGCTTCCTGTCTCTAAAGAAATAAGGAAAATAAGTCAATTAAAAGAATATTACTAAGAGGAGGGGGTAGAGAGATGGCTCAGTGATTAGAGCACTTGCTGCAGCCAAGCAGTGGTGGTACAAGCCATTAATCCCAGCACTAGGGAAGCAGAAGAAGGTGAATCTCTGTGAGTTCAAGACCATTCGGGTCTACACAGCAAGTTCCAGGACAGCCAAGGCTATACAAAGAAACCCTGTCTCAAAAAAACAAGACAAACTAACAAACAAAAAACAACCAAACAAAAAGAACACTTACTGCTTTTACGGAGAACTCAGGTTTGGTTTCCAGCACCCATACATAGTAGCTCACAACCACCTATAACTCTACTTTGAGGGGATCCCTCCTTTCTGAACACCAGGCACACACATGTTACATACACACACATACATGTAGGCAAAATACCAATGCACATAAAAATAAATAAATCTATAAGAAAATTTCTAAAGACTATTACTAAGACTGGGAAGGACAATACGGAAAGAGATGAGACTGCCTAGGCAGCAGAACTGATCTGGGCTTCCAAGGCTGCTTCCAATCTTCTTTTTCTGCTTGGTTTTAGTTTTCTCACCTTCCAGGTGAGGAAGACGCTTCCTCCATCTCTGATTCTCTATAACATCCAATACTCCAGGCCTTTTTTGGGTGACACAGAAAAGTAAAGAAAGTCAAAGAGCTCTCTGCATTTGGGTTCATGTTTTCAATCCATATCCCTTGGAGACCACAAGGCTACTTTTAGGATGTCACATGGTTCAGGGAAAGCTTCCAGCCTCCGGAAAGCAAAGAACTCTAGACATTCTGACCACCCCACAATAACATTTGGAACCTGTGAAGAGCATTCCCTTGAAAGTCTAACAAATTGGCAGCAGCCAGCACTTGGCATCTGTAAGCACTGATGTCTCCACACATCTCAGGACAATGTGGAATCAGCCTGTTACCTACGCAGAGCACTCACAGAGACCTCTGCGCATGAAGAAGAACACAGCATACTAGTCCAGGGAGCTCTGAGCTTTCCAAAAGAGCCGAAAAAGCTGATGTGACTGAGTGGTTAGGGATGTGGGTCCAGCCCTATGCTTTACCACGTTACTCATTTAATCCTGAACCAGTTTGGCAATTTCCCATTCTTCTAGTGTGGGAAAGAGTTTGTAAGAGCTTGGCTTGTTCATTTGTACACGTATCAGCTAACAACCTCCTGAATGACAAGTGCTGGGCTAAGAATTGAAGAGACAGTGGCAAGAGAAAATAAGCACTCACCTGTTCTCATGGAGCTTATTAGTCATGGGAAAAGGAATTCGTCAAGGAATGGATAGTTAAGTTGGTAAGGGACCTGCCTAGCATGCATGAAGCTTTGAGTTCAATCCCCAGAACCCCATAAACTGTGAACAGTGTAATCTTGGCACCTAGAAGGCAAGAGGATCACAAGTTCAAGGTCAGGTGACCCTGTCACATAAATAAACAAAACAAAGGGAGGGTCACAGTACCATGAGGACAAAAGTATCAAGGCAACCATGGTGGTGACCCAATGGGTACAGGAGGGGAGAAGCGGGGAGCAAGGGCAAGCCACGCACAAACTTAGGTCCATCTGACAACAAAATCATGTCTTTATTCTTCTTACCATTTACTCATTCTCTAGGTAATTAGCTACTGAACATTTACTGTGTGGCAGCCCTGTGCCAGGGTACAGCCATGAGTTAAACGAGTTCTCACGGAATCTACAGCCTAGACATTAAACATGTAAGACAAACAGATGTATGCAAAGGCAGACTGGGAAGAGAACCACAATGGGTTAAGTTCAACAGGTAAATGACCTAGGAGGTCAGAGGGCTTCTAGAGCCTTGATAATCCAATAGAGCCTCCAGCCTACTGTACGTGAGTGAAAAACTTGAGGGAACAGAGCCTGTCAGGGAGCAGCACAGGCCTGTCCAGCCAAGGAGTCCTCGGTGGAGAAGACAGCATATTTCTATCTTGCCACAGATCTGCTAGAGCAGAAGCTCTTCTAAGACAAGATCAAACAGTGAATCAGCTCACACAGCCCAACCTCAGGGAGCTTCACTAGTGCAGACATTTCAAAGCTAACTGCGACCATTCATAGATTGGTTTTCTTGACCACACAAACACACTATGTAGCAGACAAGAAGATTTACTATCTTACTTGAGAGGAGCAGTGAGGATGTGTGAAACAGCTGAGACAAGGTCACCAAATGAGGAAACACCCAACTCTGCCACCCAGCTTTGTGTAACATCTCCAGTCAGGAAACGGAACATCTGACTGCAGGTCACGGGGGCTAGATAGTCACCCAGGAGTCCCATGAAGTTCACGGGGGCTAGATAGTCACCCAGGAGTCCCATGAAGTTCACGAGAACAATGATGGGGACATTAAGAAGCTCAGGAAAGGTTTCTAGAATGCAACTTCACCAGCCTGAAACACAGGTACCCTTGCCAACTCTCCCAGATTAGAACAGGTCCTCCTGGCCTCTTTTCAAGTGCCTCTGACTAACACAGAAAAGTATTTTTCCATTGCAAACCTGCAGGCGGGCAGTAAACTCCAGGAGTGCAGAGAGTGCATCCCCACTTCTGTACAAACCATCTGGCAAGTTATTCAGGTGCCATCCAAACTGCCCTGGCTACACATCTGCCAATGAGAACGTCAGTTTCAGGCACTGTGTCTCCACCTTGACAATACAAGTACCTGAACTGCATATTTTTCTTGTACAAAGAAGGGGCACCTTGGCATCTTGCAGGGTTAGAATATTCAGCTGCTTCTTTGACCTCCACCCACTGGGATGTCATTAACAGCCCCCAGCTGTCATAGCCCATAATGTCCCCAGCCATTGCAAATGTCCACAGCAGGACCAAAGTCACCTTTTGAGGAAGCTTCAATCTTGAGACTATGGAGAAGAAAGGCAAAGTGCCCTGTCCTGGTCACTACACACAAACTCTTTTGGATCAGTATCACAAAACAAATGCCTCCCCATAAGCATCTGTGTGCTGCTGTGGTCCTCCACTGGAGCTTCAGCAGGAGTCAAACAAACTCCGTGTTGCACTGATGAACCACTTGTGATCCCGCAAGGAAAACTTGTTCCTATAACTGAGAGCAGCTGAGTCTGATTAAATGGAAGCTCTGGATGCTTCTCTCAATGACATCAAGCCAGAGCAAAGGCTGACATGGCTGCTACAAGGAGCACAGAGTGATGAATCAGGATCCTCCCATTCACCCCCAATTCAATATAATACCCAGATATCCAAACACCCCAGCTTTTAACTATTCTTGACCTGGGAGAAAGGGGAACAGAGTGAGGTACATATATACAAGAAAGCTGAATTAGCAACTTAATTAAACAGCTAAACCATTACCAAAAAAAAAAAAAATCATGCCCTCAAGTGGAGGTGGAAACATAAAGCTGAGATTCCAAGCAGCTGGAGTGACTCAGTGCTAGCAAGAACGCAGCTGCCAACTCCCACCCCAGGGCTGGGCCCCTGGCCGGGCCTGAGGTCCACTCCACTACAGTGCTTCATAGAAACACCACTTCTGTCTCTCAGTCAGCCACTTAACCAGGTACAGGGATTACTCACAGACTCACTCCAGTATGGTAGCAAGAGTGTTTTGCTGCACTGTACTCATGAGCTGCCCACCTGTTAACACCTAATCACTCAGTCTGCCGTCACTCACTGTCTTGCATACTTGGCTCTGTGCTTGCGTATCTCATACTGTAACGGTGCTGAATTCTCTAATATGGGTCTGCCTCTCATAAAGGGCTCCTTAAGGGCATGTAAACAGACATTTATGGGTTGATGGTTGGATGATTGACAAACAGGGATGGACAGATGGAAAGACAGATGAAGTTTTCTATCCCTATGTTTAAGAAACCTGAAGCTCTTTGAGGAAAGAAACAACTTTCTTTCTAATGGATAATCTTCCTAAGATCATCCCCTCACCTGGCAACATGAAGGTTACTGTGTGTCATCCTTAGGCAGGCCACCATTTCGAAATGATTGTTAACATTTTGAAAAGATCAACTAAAAGCATCACAGACACGAGTGCTCACAAAAACGTAAGTACAAATGTATGTGGCAATGTGTGATTTACTGAAGAGAGCTGAAGCTATGAGAGAAACCTGAGAGCTGGAAAGCTCTAGAAAAGTGGTCAACAGGGATTTGGGGCCTGAGATGGAGCAAGCAAGACCAGAGAACTCCTGAGAAGCCCTGAAGTTCAGAAGGCCTTGACATGATATTAAACTGTCTGAGAAACTGTAGATCAGCAGGGACTGCTAGACAGCAGGAGTGAGAGGCCATGAAAAACTAAAATCCAGAAGAAAGGAATATAATAGCCAAGAAAGACCTGACCTAAGGAAGAGATGAAAACCAACTCAAGGAAAGGTGAAGATGCCCAGAGTTGCCAGGCATGTGGTGGTCCTGAGGAACACAAGGACTCAAGCAGTGCACACAGTGCATCAGTGTCAAACTGGGGTTTAAATCAGAATGCCACACCAGCTACTAACTCAATTTGAAATTTTTACCAATACTTTCTGATGTTTTAACACAGATCAGGTGGAAATAAAAATAAAGCCATCACTTCAGCCATGGCCAGGCAAGAACTTACCAGTACCTGGACCAACCTTTGGGTTGTGTTGGCTGCTATGGATGTCCTCTCAAAACGTCCAGGTCTCTTAGGAGCAGAATGAGCTCACCAATCCAGTCTTGCATTTCCAGGTGTAATCCAGAGAGGAAAAGCCACATCTGGCTGACGGCAGAGGATACCAAGTCCTCCTCTTTCCAGTATTTAAAGTCCCCCACCCCTTCCTTAACTCATGAGGGTCTGTACAACTGTTCTTCCCAACCCCAAATTTTCTGCCACACCCTCACCTGTCTGAGCAACCAGGTGTGTCCAGCCACTCCAGACGGCAGTGAGCTTTTCATTCTGAAAGCAACGTGCATCTATTCTCTGGGGCAGAAGAAGGAATGCAGCCAGGGAAGCCAGTTGCCCATGTTTGTTCCGGCCCCAGACATACAGTTCTCCTGTATCTGAAACAGAGGAGAACAGGAGGTGAGGAAAATGACCCAGAAAGGTGGGGGACAACTCTGAAAAAGAAATGGCTAAAAAAGAATGGTTTCCTACTTACACCACAGGATTTAGTGTGCCATGCACAATACAAAATTTATGTACAACATAATCAAATATAAAACTTACAAAATTCTGTACATAATGCAAGTCTAGTGTATATAATACATCTCTCTCTTTCTGTGTGTGCACATGTGTGTGTATGTGTGTGTGTGTGTGTGCGCGCACACACACTTACATAATAAATCATGGGGAGTGGTATATGCACACGTTGGAGGATGGAGGAGTTGCATGTATCCATGAGAAGAGATCCTGAAAGAAAACATCAGATGTCCTGTTCTATTGCTTTCTGTCTTATTCCTTCGAGGTGTTCTCTCACTGCAGTTGGAGTTGGCTGTTGGCCAGGAAGCCACAGCAATCTCCAAGTCTCCGCTCCACACAACGCTAGGGTTATAGGTGTGGACATAACACAGCTTCTTATGGAGATGCTGAGATTCAAATTGAGGTCCTCACGCTTGCACAGCGAACACTCTTACTCACTAAGCCATCTCAGCAGCCAGTTTTCTGTACTGTTCTCAATGTAAAACTATATTACCTTCTGTTAAGTGGGAAATCCTTAAAACTTTTAAGATAACAGGTCAGAAGATACACTACTTGGGGACTGGGTATGTGGCTCAGTTGGCAGAGTGACTGACTGGCATACACAATCTCCAGCACTGCATAAACTGGGTGTGATGGTGCATACTCACAATCCCAGAACTCCGGAAGCAGAAGCAGACGGATTAGGAGTTTAAGGTCATTCTTGGGCTACATAGTTAGCTCAAGGCCAGCCTGGACTACAGAAGACACTGCTAAAAAATGATATGCTATTTAAGCTTAAACCTTTTAAAATGAAATAGTTCCACCGTCCATCAGAAAAGAGTGAGCTAACACTGCCCATCTGGGCAGCCCCCGAGCTCATCTGTAATCCTGTGATAGAGGCAGCAGTGACTGGCAGTGATGTAACGGGAGGAGGAAGCCAATGCAGAGTCAAGTGACTCCGGCTGCTATTCCTGGATCTGCTAACTAGCTATTGACCTTGGACAAATCACTTCCTTTCCAAGCCTTGCTTTCACCAGCTGAACCTGGGAAGGGAAGGCTGCTGGCAAAAAAGGGTGGAAGATACAACCAACATCACTGCTGACCAGAAAACAACCGGTGGGTGACCATGACAAGCAAAGAACGCATGCCTATCTAAAAGGTGCTTAAGTTCAAAGATAATTTTTAGATGAAAACCAAACAAAACGAAGCCAAGGCTGTAATTCAGTCTGTGAGACATCAGTCTGCAGCTCTTCAGAGCCCTCCATAAGGTTTCCCATTCTGGCAGTATGACAGTCTACACGTGCACTAAACAACAGCACTAGCCACCAACACCTGCCGTGTGGCTGGCACACATGAGAATACGCAACAAACTGCAGAGCTATCACCAAAAAACATACTTCATTAGTAATGTTCCTATTATATTAAATAATATTTTGGATATTCTAAATAAAAGGCATTACTAAGATTAATTTTACCTGTTTCATTTTTTGGAATATGGCTCACAGAACTGACCCAAAAGATAAGTTAATCAAGCCTGGGAAATGTTAAATGACTCTTTCAGATCACCTGGCTAACAAGGACTCACAGCCAGTGAAAGGACGAGGAGTCAGGCCTGTTTCATTTGGTGAGTTCCCTATAAAGTTTACAGCACTGCTTGTCCTACAGTGGTCTCATAGTCCCCAAAACTGATCAAAGGTCAAACAGGATCATTACAGCCATAGCTCAGGAATTTCCAAGTTCCGTCTGACACTCACTGGATGTGGGACACAGGACACAGCACGCTATGACCCATTCCCTTACCTCTAAGGTGAGGATGCTTATGACACAGTTCCCATCACAGGTGGCCCTGAAACACTGACACCCTACAGGTCTATGATGTGCATTGGGCTTTCGTCAGAGTGCAGAGGTCTAAGAATCCCTTACAGGAGGGCAGAGACAACACCCTTATCCCACACAACATCAACCCAGTAGATGCTGGAGAGCCACAGAGGCGCCACCGGTGTGGAGCTGATATGACTCAGAATATCTAAGCCATCTTTTTGAAAGGCAGACTGTCTTCCACATGGGGATAGTTACACTGTTGCATCAGCAGGTAAAATTAAATTCTGCTGCAATGCCAAATGGTTACATAATCTACAAGGACTCCAGAGAAGAGGTCTAAAGAACACTGAACAAAATGCAGTGTGCTAACAGTCCAAGCAAGATGAGAAAGGAGGGCTATTAATCTTGACAATTTTTAACTCACTTTCGAAATATCAAAAGCCAATTCACTTTGTGACTATACTAAAAATGATTAAATGGACACTTTAAAACGGTGACTATCATATATAAATTATAGCTCCACCAAAAAAAAAAGAAAAAGAAAAAGAAAAAGAAAATCCTGTCTGGGTATAAAAGGCACCACAGGAAAAAGTGGCCATGTAGGAAATAATACATTTAGTAATCACATATCTTTGTTCTCTTTTAAAACTTGATGTTAGCAGTTAATTCAATAATTTCTAAGTTGTACACCATCAGTCAAATCAATTAGGGCAGAAAATAAATGTGTCTTACTCCAACAAGGATAAAGTTGCCATCACTAGCTGTGGGCTGCACAAAGCACCTGCAATCCTGTGTCTCCAGAGAAGAGGGGGACCAGGTCCAGGGAGTCACTCAAGAGCCAGCATTCAACTCAACACTTTCACCAACCACCAAAGTGAAACACAGGCTACAAATTGATGTCTCTCTTGTCAGCTGATTAGTTGTTTTAGACTCACTGAACAATAGTTTATTAGCAGCTCAGAATTTCTTAAGTATTTAAACTTTCACACTGTCTCTGGTACTCTGTAAACGCCAACAGTTAGTTGTCAGCTCGGTTGGACCATGCTAGGCTGTGAGTTTACAGACATGTACACACATGAATTTCCACACAAAATATAGCAGTATGACAGTCCTCACTTACTGCTTAAAATGAAAGGCATTCGACTCCGTGTGAGAGGTCTAACAAAGATAAGCTCCTCAGAGGTATAGGCTGAAGTCTACCCTGTCTTAGCATGACAATCCAGGTCAAAGGAAAGGGAAGACCTTCCTGCAGGAGGAAATGATGAATGGATTCCTGAAGAAAGGCCACTGGGTAACTTCTATTGCATTAGCACTGATGGCAAGTCAGAAAACTATGATGTAAGAGCTGAGCATGGTGGTGCACACTTGGGAGATAAAGGAAAAGAATCAGGAATTCTAATGCCAGCCGTGTGTGTGTGTGTGTGTGTGTGTGTGTGTGTGTGTGTGTATTTTTCCTCATGTAACTCAGGCAAAAGATTTTCAATAAGTTTGAAGCTATCCTGGGTTACATAGTGAATACCAAGCCAGCCTGGGCTGCAGAGTGAGACTCTCTCAAAAGCAAAACAAAATAAAAGAGGAGTATGCTATATGGTCAAGTACTTGCTCCCTGACACTTGGTCAACAATGAGCTACATACACAATGGTAGCCATACCATACAGCCTAGGTGTACAGTGATCAGGCAATGATACGCCCCCATCACTGAGCAATACACGGCTATATATAAATATACTGGTGATATCATGATTTGCCCATCACAACTTCCCCAAGGGGAAGATAATCATTTCCACCCTGTATAACTGAAAAAACTCAGATGATGAGCAATGAGCCTCAGCTTGATGGGAGTGCTTTACATGTACTATCAAATGCAGCCTCTACACCTTTACACCTGTCCATAAAGTACTTTGCAGATGAGATGGTCTCAAAAGATAATTTGTCTAAAATTATGTCAAGAATGGTATCAAAACTGTCACTCCAAAATTTATACCTTCCCTGGCTGTTTCAGTTTCACTCAGAGACCATAGCATGCAGCTATGAAGAGTACATTCAGCTCTGAAGAGCTGGTACCTACCTGTTAATGCGGCTGAGTGGTCAGATCCGGCAACGACACATACCGCTGTGGAATTTTCAAGGCCTGGAAAGGAAATATGTTTGTTCTGAGCTATATTTAGGCTAGAACACATTGCATGAAGAGTGGACTCCAGGGCCCAGCATCACCTAGGCACGGGGAAAACCAACCAGTGCAGGCAAATGTGAGCAGCAGTACTGGCAGGAAGGTTGGCATGATGGAGGCAGTGACGTAAAGGGGTTGAACAAGTCAATGGGTTGAGGATAAAAGCACAGTCCTCATTATCACACAGGAAAAGTACAAACATGAATGGCAGGAAAGCTAGCAGAATCATGCAGTAATGAGTTGGAACCAAACAAGTAAGTGTAAACAGATGCACAGACATGAGAAAATTCAAGTGAAATGTATGTATGTATTTCTGAGTTCTACCTGCTGGGCAAGGTTGAAGGCAAAGGAATTCAAACCTTCAGCTCCTATTGTGTGCAGGACTCAAGCACAAACCAGGCCTTGGAAAAGCACACAACAAAGTTCTCTGAACCCGCTTCTGGCCTCCAAGTCTAGTAATTTACCTTCCTGAGCTACATCGCTTCCACCACTATGGCAGAATCCCAACCCATCCTGTTAGGAATTGGGACAGCCTATGGTAATTTATGGTCTATCCTGCAGAAAAACACAGTCGAGTCTGCAACTGTTTCCAGAAACTTCTGTTTTACTAACTAATTAAAAGGCACCTCACATTTTTAAGTGTCTTGTGGAATAAACAGAACAAAGCAGAAGTTCCCAGTCATATCTACCAGCAAGGAGTCCTGGGCCTTAGGGGTACCAAGGTAGCAAAGTGAAGACAGAAGAATACAAAATGATGGACTTGGACTATGAGGGCAGAAAGCTGATGAGTCATTCAGGGCCATCCAAAAACTCCTCAGACAACTCTGAGCTGTCACTCCAGATCCCAAACTGGCAGTTTAAGTTAAAGAGTTTTGTTATGCCTTCCGGTTACTGACCCTGCACTAAAATATAGAGAACAACATTCCATTTTCCCCTTAGCATAGGAGGACACTGGTAACCATTAACACATAGCAGAGCAGTGCTATTCACAAAGAGAAGGCAATGCAGGCCAGTTGGGGAGTCTTCACTGAAAGAGCCACGTCTGAGTCAGACCTTGAGGAAACCCCAGGGCTTTCCCAAAGAAAGAGAACAAAGAGCACTCCCAGCAGAGCTGAGAGTCTGTCCACAGGTACAAGGGCAACTACCCTGCTGAGATAAGGAGATCTGGGAAGTGAGACCTGTGACACACACACACGCACACACACTTGTATTCATGCATACAAGCACACACAGAAAGAGAAAGGAAGGAAGGAGCGAAGGAAGGAAGGAGGGAGGGAGGGAGGGAGGGAGGAGGGAGAGAGAGGGAAGGGGGGAAGGAAAAAGAGAAGAAAGGCTGTGATTTTCAAGTCTTTCAAGGCAGACAAGGTAGCACACTTATAATCCCAGTGTTAGGAGGTGGAGCAGATGAGCAACTCAGTGGGCTGCAGGCTTGTAAAAGACCCTGCCTCATAAAACAAGTGGACAGTGCCAAAGGAACAACAGCCAAGGCTGTCCTCTGGCCTCCACAGTCACATGCATACATGTACATACATAAATATACGCACACACAACCAGAATGATCCCAACGCACGAGTGCCTCACTATCACTACAGTTTCTATTCTGTCCCCATCCTTTCCTGACACCCATCCCCCCAGTCTCTCTTGTTTAGAGCTCGGGAAGAGTTGGAGGTCTTCATATAGGGTTTTCCTATAGCCAACCGTCAGCAAATTGGGCCCAAAAGTAAGAGTTACAGAGAAGAGATAGATGTGGTACCATACACAAATCAGAAAGGCCTACAAAGAGTGGAGGACAGAGACAAAGAGCTGAAGAGGACCTGAGAGTGGAAGACAAAGTAGAGAAAAGAAAGGAGGGGGTGGTACCTATAGGTCAACTAATCAAAATAAGACCCACCAGCAGGCCCACGAGCAGAGTGCACATCACCTACTGTCCACATGGAGACACCCCATGCTTGCTCTACATCCTCACTCATTCCTGATTCCCTCATGGCAGAAGGAAATGGCACAGAGGCACAGCCAATAGTCTTCTCTGTGGAGTATAACTGCCTGCACTGAGAGGTCATTTCTGTCCCCTTGGCCATGCAGGAAACTCAGCAGTCACCCAGATGCCTTGTGGGTAACTTGCACCTAGGATTCAGGACTTGCAGACTCACTAGATTATTACATCCTGTTTCCAAACTCCTACATCGCTTCCAAATAGCTATGATCCAGTCTAGAACTTCCTTGCTGGTCTCCACTTACCTGCCAGGCATCTATCAATCAATAGGTCCCAGACTCTGGTGGCAAAGATAGTGAGTTTCCTGGGGCCACAAAAATTACAAAAATACTGGCATCCCAACCAACAGAGAGCATTAGAACAATAAAGAAATACCAAAGGCTTAGGGCTAGAGAAATGGCTCAGCAGTTAAGAGTACTGGCTGGACCTGAATTTGGTTCTCAGCACCAACAAGGGAACTTACAACCATATTTAATCCCAATTCCAGGGGATGTAACACTCTCATCTGGCCCCCCTGGGCACCTGGCATGCAAGTGATGCACAGACACACATGCAGGCAAGATAGCCATACAAAATAAAGTAACTGTTTAGAAAAATAATGAGAGAGAGAATGAAACTCCACTTACCCGTTTTCTGAAGGTCTACTTCCTTCCTCACAAAGTAATCAAAGACTATAAAGAAATAAGGAGCTCACCTGTCACTCTGCTTGGTTCCTTTGCTGTCAAAAACAATGGCAGTGTCCGCCCAGGACACAACCGTTGTCCAGAAGATGCCAAGCCAGTCCCCCACTGGAACACGCTGCCACTCACTTCCCAGCAGAGCCGAAAGGAAAAGAGAAAATATATGTCAAGTTAAACTACACTGCTGTTAGACCCTCACTGCTACGGGAAATTCCCAATGGAACTGCAGTCAAGGTGAGTGCTACACAGGGGCTGCTTCAAGGGCCACAGGAATTACCTGCCTCAGCAATTACCTGTGAGCCAAATACAAATCCAGCTTTTCAGACAATCTAAGACCATGAGAAAACTCCAATGTAGTAAAACTTCCTCTCAAAGTCCCAGGCCCTGCCTCACAGCTACACCCTGAATGCTAACTCCAGGCCCTGCCCCACAGCTACACCCTGAATGCTAACCTGCTAACCCACAGCTACACCCTGAATGCTAACTCCAGGCCCTGCCCCACAGCTACACCCTGAATGCTAACCTGCTAACCCACAGCTACACCCTGAATGCTAACCTGCTAACCCACAGCTACACCCTGAATGCTAACCTGCTAACCTGAAAGGAAGCTTGAAGACCACCGAGTGCACACCCCACATTCACTACATGAGAAATTGAAGATCCAGAAGAGAGACTGTGATTTGGCCATGGTCGCATGGGGAATCAACAGCAGAAAAAACATTGGGGTTCAGCTGACACTCAAGGTAGTGCTTTTCTGTCCCAAGGTGAATTTGGATTTTCTATTGCCAAATACAAGTGTATCTGTGACTACAAGACAGCACGGCAGTCATTATTTCAGTAGAATGGCCACTTGAACCTACGTACCCACATCCCTAACCCCATAGAAATGCACAGATAAACTCCTACACATTTGGCAGCTAGTCAGATGTGCACAGCACGGATCCACCAGCTAACACCAACATCAAGGTCTGCTCTCTGGACCATTCTACAGCCAGCACTCTCAGACTGTAACAAGATAAGCCTGCTCTATGAAGCAGCAGCTATGCTCCCTGAGAACAATGCACAGGAGAAGCCTGAAATAAACCAAGACTACAACCAGCAGATAAACTCCAAGAGCAGAATTTCCCTGAATATAACAACTGTTTGATATGTCCACGATGTCTTAAAGAATGAATTATTCTCTTTGAAAATTTTCCCAGATATTAGTTTTTATTTTATATGTATGAGAGTTTGGCCTTCATGTATAACTGCACCACAGGTGTGCCTGGTTTCTACAGAGGCCAGAAGAGGATGTCAATTCCCTGGAACTGGAGTTACAGACCACTGTGAGTCATCATGTGGGGTCCTCTACAAGAGCAGTCAGTGCTCTTAACCAATGAGTGGTCTCTCCAGCTTCTCTTTGAAATATTTTATTGTAAAATATGCACAGTGTAAAACATATCACCTTCACCATTTTAAGTGTCTAGCCCAATGTAGCACACAGTCACTGTGGTGTGCAACCATTATCCTTCCAGCTCCAAACTGCTTCATCCTGCAACACTGAAGTGGACTGCACCCACTCACTCCCCATCCTGGTCCCCTGTCATGGGGCTGCCATTCACCATCTCTAATTTTAACTGCTCACATGAAGAGAATGCCGGCATTTGTCCTTTCTATGACTGGCTTACGCCAGTCAGCACCATGTTCATCTAGGGAGAAGCCTCTCAACAGTTCTGTATCTTTTAAAGCTCATACTATCCCTGGGGGAGGGATGGGGGGCTAGTTACATGTGTGTGCGCCCCATTGTGCTTGCTCATTCATTGTCAATGGACACCCGAGAAACTGTCTCAGCTGTATATGTCAGTTATAGCTGGTGTCTTTCATCCTATACACTGTTGATCTCTTTACCTCTCCCTCCTTTTTCCCTTTTATAAACTCTATTTGTCAAGTTGGGAGTGGTGGCACACATCTTTAATCCCAGCACGCAGAGGCAGAGGAGGCAGAGGAGGCAGAGGAGGCAGAGGAGGCAGAGGAGGCAGAGGAGGCGGAGGCGGAGGCGGAGGCGGAGGCGGAGGCGGAGGCGGAGGCGGAGGCGGAGGCGGAGGCGGAGGCGGAGGCAGAGGCAGAGGCAGGTAGATCTCTGTGAGTTCAAGCCCAGCCTGGTCTAAGTGCGTTCTAGGCCAGCCAGGGCTATATTGTGCTATATTGTGAGACTCACCTATTTATTTAAAAAAATAAATAAAAAAGCTAGTTAGTTACGTGGCACTACTATACCGCTTTCCATAGCAACTGAACCTCTACATTCTATAAGAAGAATTAAAAGGGGGGCAGGAACACCTCAAACCACGTCCCTCCCCACCCTGCTTAAGACAGGGTCTTTTGTCTACTGGCTGCATACACAAGGTTCACTGCCTGTCAGTTTCTGGGGATTCTGGCCACTTCACGCATAGGAGCACAAAGATTACAGATACACACAACCTTTCTTGTAGGTGCTGGGAAACTGAACTTAGGTCCTCATACTAGTGCAGCAAGGGCTTGGCCTACTGAGCCCTCTCTCTAGCCCCACTGCCCTGAGGATTTCTTTCTTCTTCTTCTTCTTTTATTTTATTTTTTTTCTGAGACAGGGTTTCTCTGTAGCTTTGGAGCCTGTCCTGGAGCTAGCTCTTGTAGACCAGATTGGCCTCAAACTCACAGAGATTCGCCTGCCTCTGCCTCCCAAGTGCTGGGATTAAAGGCATCTGCCACCACTGCCTGGCCTTGCCCTGCAGATTTCTAAGAGGAGAGCCATCTAGAAACAAGTAGTCACTACCACACAGCTCAGAAGTCACCCTCCTTAACCATCCAAAGAAATGAAATCTACATTCCTATAAAAGCCATTCACAAATGTTTATAGGTTATTGAAAATAGACCAAAACTAGAAACAAGTTTGACATTCCTCAGTGGGTAACTAGTTAAACAAACTGGCTCTTATAAACTGTACTGTGTCCCACCCCACCCCCCCAGCATCCAGGTGTAGAATCCCTAATTTCTAGTGTGGCTTTGTTTGGAAACGGAGCATTACAGAGGTTAGGAAAGCTGAGCGGTACCTATGGGAAGTGGGGTTAGTCCAGTAAGACTAGCACCTGTATGTATGAGTCATGAGAGAGCTGTCTTTGCGCAGATGCTCAGAGGAAAGTGTTACCAGAAACAATCCTAATGACACTCATCCTGGACTTCCAGCCTCTAGAACAAGGAGAAAGGGAGGATATGGTATTTAAGCCATTTGGGCTGCAGTACTGTGTTACAACAGCTCTAGCAGGCTAATCCAGTGCCACATCCATACCACGCTATTCGTCATGAAAAGGAATCAGTTATGGATACACATGGCTTAGACAGATACCTAGGGGAACTATGCTGTGAAGGAACGCCGACCCCTAAAGGTCATGTACTGTATGGGAGCATCTTAGGGCATTTCAATGGTGACATTACAAACACAGGAAACAGGAACGGTTGTTGAGGGCTAAGAAAAGGCTGGGAGCAGCAGGAAGTGAGTGTGGCCATCAACACCAGCAGGAGAAAACTTGTGGTGATAAAATTCCTCTGCATCCTCACTGTATCAGCATCCTGGGTGAGCTACTGCACTGTTAATTCTGCAAGGTATTACCACTGAGGGAAGCTGGAAAAAAAACTTGTGGGGATCTAGTTTGTTTTTTAGCAATTTCATGTGGGTTTACAATTCTCTCAAAACACAAGATTTCACATTTTAAAAATTGTTTGTGTATGAATGTTTTGTCTGCATGTTTGTCTGATCTCCACACACATGCCTGGTGCCCATGAGGGCCAGAAAAGAGTGTCAGATTCCCTAGCACTGGCGTTAGACTATTAGAAGCTGTCGTGTGGGTGCTGGGAACCAAGCCTGTGTCTTCTGGAAGAGCAGCTGGTGTGCCTAACTGCTGTATTGATATCTCCCTATAAGAGAAGGTTTAAGCAGCAGTAAGCCACAGGACTTGAGCAAACACAAAATTTCACTGCCTCCTCCTTGCCTCTCCTCTCTGTCCTCACCCACCCACACCACATGTGTCTCACATGGCATGGAGAGTTACCGGTCACAGGAGAAACACACAGTGACAGCATGAGAGGAGCAAGGGCGAAATCTGAACGGTGAAGCTTCTCCACCCATCCCTGGGTTTCTAGTTCCTTCCCTTCCCAGTTTCTCTCCTCTGAGTACACCCTAGCTTCTCTCCCTCTCCCTTTTCCTCCCAAGCATCTGTTCCCTATCATGTATATTTAAGTGTGCATGTATGTGCAGGTACATGTAGAAGTCAGGGTTCAACCTTGGTAGTGTTCCTCAAATATCTTCAATTCTAACTGAGACAAGGCCTCTGGAACTTCATCAAGTAAGCTAGGCTAGCTTGCCAGCGAGCTTCAGGAATCTGCCTGCCTCTGTTTCACACCTCACCATTGCTAACATTACATCACCAAGTCCAGCTTTTTACGTGGGTTCTATAGATTTGAACACAGATCCTCATGCTTTCAAGGCAATCATATTGACCCATCTCTCCACCTTACCTTCCTTTTAAAAAGAGCTATCTATGTATCAATTGTTTTCTAACCTTTAGGATCTTCAAACCAAGGACAGAGTCCTATTTACCTTAAATGTCACCTGCCCTCCAGTGGCCCTATTCATGCTGCCCACTCACGTACAGAAGACAATTCACTTAAAGCTTTCCCATCAACCATGTTAAAATCCAGCAGGAAGGCAACACAGTTGCCTGCAGAGCCACACTGACAAGTCTCTAGCTCTTCCTCCCTGCCTCACATGTGCTTCCACAAACTCTTGTGGGTAAGACTTTAATTCACACCACTCCTTGGCTGTAAGGACTGAATGAGAGAATAAAATTACGAAAAATCTAGCAGCATGTCTGCAACAAAGAGAATCAGACAGCTCACTCCCTTCCTCCCCTGACGAAGACTCTCCAATAACTTCTACTTTGTGGTCTCTCCTCTCAGCTGGAGCTACAGCACAGCTGGCCCCTTGCCAACACGCCTCACAAAGTTTTTCTGGAGCTATACTGCTCAGAATGGGCTCACTTGAGAAATAAAGGCTGAGTGGTCTACCTGTAGTGGCTAACGCATGCCTCAGTCCAGCCGCAACACAAACAACCTTCTCTCTCAGGAGCTGTCCAAAGAAAGAACAGGATTTACTCTCAGAATCATTCATCTTCAAAATATCATATAACGTGTACAAACTCAATTCAGCCTGAAGCACCCCCACCCAATATGCTCACTCAGAAATGCTTCTTTATTTATGACAGATGAAAATGTGTGTGTTGCATGCACGTGAGTGTGTGTTGTATGCATGAGTGTGTGTTGCATGTACTTGAGTGCAGTTGTATGTACGCATTACATGCACATGTGTTTGTGTGTTACATGCAGTTAAGTGTCTGTATGTCTGCTGCATGCACATGAATGTGTGTGTGTGTGTGTGTGTGTGTGTGTGTGTGTGTGTGTTGCATGCACATGAATGAGTGTGTGGGCACAAGGAGGCCACAGGAAGACACTACTATCACTCTCTGCCTTACTGCCTTGAATCAGGGTCTCTCACTAAACTAGAAGTTCCCTGTTTCAACGAGGACCAGTGGCCATTGAGTTCCCTCAGTGCTGGAGTTATAGGCATACACAGTCATACCTGGCTTTTTTTAAATATGTATTTTATTTTATGTATATGTCTGTTCTTCCTAAATGTGTACCATATGCATGCCTAGTGCCTGTGATGATCAAAAGAGAATATCGAATACCATGGAACTAGAGTTACATATGGTTGTGGGTACTGCAAACTGAATCTAGGTCCTCAGCAAGAGCCACAACTACTCTTAATAGTTGAGACATCTCTCTTTCCCTTGCTTTGGTGTTTTTTTGCATGAGTTCTGAAGATTGAAATCCAAGTTCTCGTGCTTGTATAACAAGCACTCTTACCATTAAGCCATCTCCCTAACCCTGAAATATAATTTTTTAAAAATATCGTATCATAGTACTACATTGCACTGCCTCTCAAGGGTAGGGGGTGGGACCTCCAAAGTCATCCAGTAAACATTTCCCCAAAATAGCCAAATACCATATGGCTCCTGCCACACAGCTCAGCTCTGTAACATCAAACAGCTATATATGAGAAAGCGTGGCTGTGCTCCAATAAGACTTAAATAGCAAGGGCTTCAGTGTTCCCTCCTGACCCAGTTTGATCCCTAGCCAACACTAGAAGCTCTTCCTTAAATGGTCATTCAACCCCTGCCCAGTGGCTGCCTCCGGTAACACGGAGCTCACCACCTCCCTAGGCACCTGCTCCATCCTTGCACATCTCTTCTGTATCTCTTTAGATGGAGCCAAACCCAGCTGCCTTTAGCTTCTGACAAAGCTTTCCAAATATTTGAAGACAGTTGTCATGTCCTCTCTAATACATCATGTGGCGGTTTTAAAAATAGGTCCTCAATTTTTTTTTCTACTCCCTTCAATTCACAGAGCTTGATTCCCCTCCCCTGTGTGGGCTGGGCTTACTGACATACTTCTAATGAAAAGAATAAAGGAGCAGAGTGAGTCAGAGACACCAAGGCCTCCTCTTTAAGAAAGCCACCTGCCAGGTCTGAACAGTTGTACAAAAAGGTCCACAGAGCAGGAACTGTGACTCCCACCAGAAGCATCGTAAAAGTTTGGCAATGGGTCTGTACCCAAGTCCAGCCCATGGAGGTATGTACAGAACTAGCTATGTCTTCACTGCTACTTTAAAATCAGCACAGAGGTCCCATTCCAGACCCTCAAAAATGGTGGCATAATGCTTGTTTTAGCTACTGTCTCACTGCAGTAGATAACTAACAAAGAACTCTTTAGACAAACATCCCAGCTGCAGTAGCTTTCACTAAGTTTCCCTCCTCTGGATAGGTTCCGGGTTGCTCCTTCCCCTGTGGCCTCATATATCCCAGGGTGGCATCAAACTCGCTATGTAGCCAAAGAAAGCCTTGAACTTCTGATCCTCATACCTCTGCCTCCCAAGTGCTGGGATTAAATGCATGTACGACCATGTCCAGTTCAGGCAATGCTGGAGATGAAACACAGGGCTTTCTGCATGCTGAGCAAACACTCTGCCACCTGAGCTGTGTCCCTGCCCTCGGTCATTCTCTTTTCATGAACAGTGTAAAGGCTAAGAACAAGTCTTAAGGACCACTATGCCTAGAATCTGTGTTCCAATGCACAAGAGATCACACCAGATCATACCAGATCGATCTGACTGGCATAAAGAGCAAGGCTCTGGCTCCTTTCTGGAGACTATACTTCTGACATTGGTGTTTCCAATCACATTAGCCTTGGACAAAATAAAATTTGACTGCCAAAACAGTTTGAGTAGATGGTTCTTTAAACGCATCTTCTTTCCTGCCTTCCTTTCTCTTTCCTAAAAATAACCAATGGGCCAGGCCCATCTCTCGATGCTTTTATCTCATGTGCTACTACTACCTATGCATACCCCCTCCACCTCAGTACTTCCACTTTTCCCCATATTACAGCCTGACCACCTGCTGACATCATCATCCACACTGTTCCTTTGGCCTAGAATGTTCTTCTTTAGCACATGTTCTGTATCCTGTTAGTCCAAGCCAGGGAAACCTAACTCAACTCTAGGGCTTAGGTAAACTTCGTGCTAGATAAGAGTCCAATCCTCCTCCCTTGGGACTATATGAGCATCTCTCATGACTCTGGCATGACAATGACACTGCATGTATTTACCATGAGCCACTAAACTACAAACCTCTCAGTCACTAAGACAGATCTTAACCACCACTGTACTCACCACCTAATCCAGTGCCCAAACATGGCAGTGCCATCCATAAATCGTGTCTCCAACAGTTCTCATTCTGGTGTATCCCTCCCATGGCCACATGGGACACAGCCCATCAAAATGTTCTTAGTTACTGACTCTGTCATTCAACGTATTTTAACCATTGTCCTTTCCTGTATTCTTTAATTATATCAACTATAATTAAGTTAAATTAATTATAACATATGTAGGTTCTTAAAGGCCACCTATTTGCTCCTGGGAGTTACAGCGGGGACCCAAAGTTCTGTAGAACGAGACTTCTGTGCAGGCCTTCAGAACCATTACCCCCAAATAACAGACCCAGGGAAGCAACTAAACTCCATAAGATGACAGAAGCTGATCTGAACCCTCCAATGAAAACGCATCTTCCACTTCTAATCAGAGGTAAGGTGGCAGAAGGGAAGCTGAGGCAGTGAAACTCGTTCTTGATTTCTGTGTATTCCTGAAATTTTTCCTATTCTCATCGTGACCATTTACAATATTATGTTTTTTACTTTTTATTCCTACTTGACACAAACTAGGATATATAGGAAAAGGGAATCACATTTGAGAAAACGTCTCCATAAGAATGGCCTGTAGGTAAGTCTGTGGGACATTTTCTTGATTTTCGATAGATATGGGAGGGCCTAGTCAACTGTGAGTGGCTACTCCTGGGTAATGGGTCCTGGGAAGTAAAAGAAAGGCAACAGAACATGAAGCTGAATGCAAGCAAGAAAGCAGTGTTCCTGCCACCAGGTTCCTGCCTTATGTCCCCACTTTGTCCTCCCTCAGTCAGGGGTGATGAAGTGGGACCTGAGAGCGGTAAGATAAAATAAACCCTTTCCTCCCTAAATTATTTTTGATCATGATGCTAATCACAGGAATACAAAGCAAAGTAAGACACAAATTTCACAAACCTGTAATGTGGGATATCATAAAAAGAGCTCTAAACAAAAGCCAAATGCCCAGGCCCTGCACCTCGACTGAGCAAAACAGTAGAGCTGTCCCTGAGGGTGTGGGTGTGGGTGAGCCAGCCCCAAAGGAGTGAGCAGGAGAACTGGTCCAGTTCCTTGCTGCCTACTGCAATGGATGAGCTAGCCAGGGTAGTGCTGCAGAGCTCACCTTGATAGTGTAGATACTGTTGATGAGGGAAAGCCGGTAGGTTGACCAATCCAACTACCACCCTGGCCCAGAACCCGGGTTATGAGCTGGTCTATCCCAACATCTACCTTATCAATAAACTGCTAGAGCATGTGAAGGGGGCAGGCCTGCAGATCCAAACCTGCAGGGTCTCCATGACATGGGGCAAGAACAAGAAATCCAGGAGGAGTCCCAGTGAGGCTCAGTATAAATGGTGTAGTAGAAGCCAGAGCCCTCAAACCAGATCTATAACTCATTGCAATGAACACTTGCAAGTAAAGATGTACAGACTAAAGGGTATTTTATGTGACTCACTGTCTCACTACAGCTTCTACACTGAGACTGACTGACCTTTCCTTCTTTCTTTCTTCCTTCCTTCCTTCCTTTTGTATTTTAGTTTATTTTGATTTTATTCTAAATTTTATTTTATTGAGGAGACATGGTTTGCAAGGGCAGAGAGTGGATATGAAAGGACAGGGAAATGAATGGGATCTGGATGCATAATATAAAATCCACAAAATGTCAATAAGAAAAAGTTGTGTTTTTTTTTTTTAAAAAAAAAAAGCCAAATGTACTGCTTCCCACCCACTCTCTACCATGGTCACTGCTACATGTGGACACTGAACCCTTGCATGTGATTAGGTTCAAAGCAGCCAGTAAAACATGCACACAGAGTTCAGAGCCTCAGTACAAAAAAAGGAAAGAAAAATACCTGACTCACAAATGCTACATTTATGTTTATATAAATGACAACAGTTTAAATAGATTAAATTAGCTTTCAAGTTTCTAAAGATATGCTGAGTGTGGCGATGCACCTGTTGTCGAAGCCATGGCAGGTAGAGGCAGGAGGAGCAGGAGTTCAAGTCTAGCTTCAATTATATAACATGTCTGAGTGCAGCCTGTACATGAGATGCTATACTTAAAAAAAAAAAAAGTCAAGGAGCTAGAGAGATAGTTAAAAGCACTGACTGCCAACAACCAATATCAAACTAAATGGCAAGAAACTCAAAGGCATCCTACTGAAATCAGGAACAGAACAAGGCTGTCTACTCTCTCTATACCTATTCAATATAATACTTGAGGTTCTAGCTAGAGCAATAAGACACCAAAAAGAGATCAGGAGGATACAAATCGGAAAAGAAGAAGTCAAACTCTCACTGTTTGCTGATGATATGATAGTTTACGTAAGCGATCCCAAAAATTCTACCAAGGAACTTCTAAGACTCATAGACACTTTCAGCAATGAAGCAGAATACAAGATTAAATAAAAAAAGAATCAGTAGTCCTCCTGTACACAGATGCTAAATGGGTTGATAAAGAAATCAGAGAATCAACACCCTTCATAATAGCCACAAAGAACATAAAATATCTTGGACTAATTCTAACCAAACAAGCGGAAGACTACTATGACAAGAACTTTAAATCTTCGAAGAAAGAAATTCAAAAAGATACCAGAAAGTGGAAAGATCTCCCATGATCTTGGGTAGGCAGAATTAACACAGTAAAAATTGCAATCTTTCCAAAGGCAATCTACAGATTCAATGCAATGCCCATCAAAATCCAAATAAAATTCTTCACAGACCTTGAAAGAAGAGTACTCAACTTCATATGGAAAAGCATAAACCCAGGATAGCTAAAATAATCCTGTACAATAAAGGAACTTCTGAAGGCATCACAATCCCTGACTTCAAACTCTATTACAGGGCTACAGTACTGAAAACAGCCTGGTATTGGCATAAAAATGGACAGGAGAAACAATGGAACAAACTGAAGACCCAAATATTAGTCCACACACCTTTGAATACCTGATTTTTGACAAAGAAGCAAAAAATATCAAATGGAAAAAAAGAAAGCATATTTAACAAATGGTGCTGGCATAACTGGATATCACCATGTAGAAGAATGAAAATAGATCCATATCTATCCCCATGCACAAAACTCAAATCCAAATGGATCAAAGACCTCAACATAAAACCAACTACACCAAACCTCACGGAAGAGAAAGTGGGAAGTACACTCGAACATATTGGCACAGGACACCACTTCCTAAATAGAACCCCAGAAGCACAGACATTGAGAACAACAATTAATAAATGGGACTTCCTGAAACAGATGTTTCTGTAAAACAAAGGACACGGTCAACAAGACAAAACAGTAGCCTACAGAATGGGGAAAGATCTTCACCAACTCCACATCAGACAGAGAAATGATCTCCAAAATATACAATGAACTCAAGAAATTGGTCATCAAAAGAACAAATAATCGAATAAAAAAATGGGGTATAGACCTAAATAGAGAACTCTCAACAGATGAATCTAAAATACACCTAAGAAAATGTTCAACATTCTTAGCCATCAGAGAAATGCAAATCAAAACAACTCTGAGATTCTATCTTACACTTGTCAGAATGGCCAAGATCAAATTACACTAATGACAACTTATGTTGGAGAGGATGTGGGATAAAGGGAACACTTCTGCATTGCTGGTGGGAGTACAAACTGGTACAGCCGCTTTGGATATCAGTATGACAATTTTTCAGAAAATTAGGAAACAATCTACCTTAAGACCCAACAATACCACTTTTGGGTATATAAACAAAACGGATGCTCAATCCTAACACTAAAGCCCACACACTGTTCTAGTCTTCGTGGTGCGCAGACACACATACAGGCAAAACATACATGTGCATAAAATAAAAATAATCTTTTAAAAATGTCGTTAAAACTCCATATGTGTGTGTATGTGTGTGTGTGTGTGCAGTGTGTGTGTGTGTGTGTGTACAGAATGTATGTTCTGCCATTGTCATTATCGAATTCTAGAACATTTGTGTTGTGGCTAAAAGGAATTCTACACTCAGTAGTAGTGGCTTCCTGTCTTCCCCTCCTCCAGCCCCTTCTCTGTGGATTTATGTGTTCTAGCCTTTTCATATAAATGTAATTTTACAACATGTAGCCTTTTGGGCCTTTTTTGTGTCTCTCTTCATGCACTACTTTCAAGTTTTATGTGTGCAGTGTGTATGTGTGTGTGTGTGTGTGTGTGTGTGTGTGTGTGTGTGCGCGCGCGTATGCCTGTGAATGCAGACATACACCATCACAAGCATAAGGAGGTCAGAGGATAACTTCAGGGCTGCTCCACCCCTTTCACTTTGCTTTAGACAGGGTCTTTGCTGTTTGCCACTTCATATGCTAGGCTAGCTGGCCTGGGGAGCTCTCAGGCAATCTCCTGTCTCAGCTTCCTATCTTCCCATTGGAGCACCAGGGTTACAGACCTGTGCTACTGCACCCAGCTTTAGATTGATTCTGGAGATGCACACTCAAGTCTTCATGGCTGCACAGCACGTGCTCTACTCACTCCGCCCCCTTCCCAGACCCTGAACTTCTACTCGGACCTGTCTGTAACACAGACATCATTAACAATGAGATATGAGATGCATTTCTGCTGTCTTAGTTTATAAAATCTTAGAACGTGCATGAAGATGAAAAAATTTTCCACCCAGCATAGATTCCCCTAAAACTGATTTTTAACAGAAGAACTTATTTTCAACTCAAGTTCTATTACTCCATGGGCTTTCAAGGACCTACCTAGTCTTTCATGAGTGAGGATAAAAGAAACAGCCTAGAAATAGCAAGATAGAACAAACTAAAACTGGGATGTCCTCACCTCAATGGTCTGTGGAACCATACATCTGCGAGGGCCGTGCGGCACACCTAACTGGCCAAAGGCATTGGATCCACATGACAGAACTTGACCTATTTCTGCAAAACATAAGCATTCAGATTACAAATCTAAGAAGTGAGATACCTGTGACCAACAGAGAAACAGGAATGAGAGGATACAGCAGGCATCCTGTGCCTCAAAGCCTTCTGGCCACTTTCCTTCTTAGTTCCTCCACACTAAAGACTATCTGCCACCTGTATCCTTAATGGCTGATTACCTGTGCAGAGCACCTAACTCAGGGTCCAGTACTGGAGTGACTGAACACTTACTCCCTCTTCATGTTTCCCACTTCCCATGTCTCCAGCCAAAAAATTCTGCACACTGTGATGCTCTGGGCCTTTCTCCTCCCTGCCCTTCCCCACATACTCACCTGAAGAGTCTGGGGGAAAGGACAAGACATGAATGGCCTGGCAAAGTAAGGGTTTCCCCTGGAGACAAGTCTAAAGTTTGGAGGGCAAATTTGTCCCAGAGAAATGTTAGAACCACCTGTCTTCATAATTAACCCTGTCTTCCAACTTAACCTTCATCCATAAAAATATGATAGTCTGCTTTCCAACTGTGACTGCTTGGTGCCTTTCTCACAAGTTGTTGCAATGTGTTGGAAACAGTGCTCCCTTCTGCTTCTTACGACCCTAACATGGCCCATAATAAGTACTTCACAAAGTGATATCTAACACTGAAATTCTTCATATGGAAAGAGGTTTCCTTTTTCAGAGCTAATCTAGTCAGGGCCTCACATGCTCAGCAAGCTGCCTCCCCAGCCCATCTGTAGTCTGATGATTACTAAACTGAATACATATGGAACTCCTCTGCAAAGGAGAAATGGTGACAGCTGAGGAAGACCGAAATACTGGACGACAGTCTGTGAGCGTACAACAGGGCAGGTTCTGAAGCAGGGACCACGGGGCATTGCAACAAAAAAAAAGTACAGGGAGTCTGGCAAGTAAGAAGAAGACAGCAGACACAGGAACCTCTGTAGAAGGCTGTGTGCAAAGCCTGGGACTTTCACTACACATCTAGGGATCCACGAGCATGAAGAGGCAGAAACTACAGGTGTCCTTTAAACCCAGACCAGCCAGCTAGAAAGGACAAAGTTAAACAGAGAAATCAATCAACAGAGTAACAAACCAGCTGCTTCCAGAAGAATTATTCAAGCAACCCTTCAGCCATAACTCATTCTGTTACCTGTCTTTACAGAGACTAAATGTTTTGAAGGGGAGCTGGAGAAATAACTCAGTGGTAGAGCCTTTGCCTAGCACATGTGAAGCCCTGGGTTTGATCCTCAGTAATGTCACCATGGAAGCCCCTTGTTGGGAAAGACCTGCACCTACTGTTGTGAAATCCCTACTCTCTCATTATTAGTGATGGCTAGTTTTACATCAACTTGACACAAGCTAGAGTCATTGGAGAGGAGAGAGTCCCAACTGAGAAAATGCATTTTCTTAATCAGTGACTGACAGAAAAGGGTCCAGCCCATTTTGGGTGGGTCCATCCTTGGTCAGGTGATCCGGATTCTATAAAAAAGCAGGCTGAGCAAGTCAGTAGGCAGTATTCCTCCATGATCTCTGCATCATCTCCTGTTTCCAGGTTGCCGGCCTGCTTGAGTTCCTGTCCTGAATTCCTTGAATGATGGACAGTGATGTGTAAGCCAAACAAACCCTTTCCTCACCAAGTTGCTTTGGGTCATGGCATGTCATCACAGCAGCAGACACTAACTAAGACAATGAGCACATAATAACTCTTAATGGCACTCCTGGTCAGCTAGACCAGACAAATAGCTTTCATGAACTTTTGGGACTAGCAATGACCACCTAACGAGATCCGGTTCATCCTCCAGTCTCTGGCAAATGTACATTCCAGCCTGATCTCCTTTATAGTTAAAATTCTCCTTGTAAAAGGTACCCTGCAATTTCCCTAATAGAGAACACTCATTGGTTCAGGGGGTGGGTTTTTTGGTTTGTTTGTTTGTTTGCTTTGTTTTGCTTTGCTTTTCTTCAAAGTACAGAGGCCCTTATTTAGTCATTCCCTACCCCCACCCACCCACACACTACATTGCTATCACCCAAAAACCTTGGTGGTGATATTTATTCAAGAGAGAACTTACCTGTGAGCATAATGGTAAAATCCCAGCCACAGGCCACCTGTTTGATTGGACAACCAAGAAGAGGCTTGCAGATGGTAAAACACAGAACATCTTCTGTGTGGCCAAGCCCCAACTGCCCATCTTTATTCAGGCCACAAACAAAAAGTCCTCCTCTATCTGCAAAACAGAAAACTGTGATGTGGGATATTTGATCACACTGTGAACCCCAAGTTTGCATTTGCATTAATTAAATAAAATTAACTTGAGACAGGAGGCTGAGTAAGCAACCAGTTGACAGAAAGTATTCATAGAGCATCAGAGGGCATTTGGAAGAGTTAGAGAGACACACAGGAAGTAACTGGGAGGGATTTGGAGTGGTGCGGCTTTTTATGGTTTGGCTGAGCATAAGGACATTCTCTTTGGGTGACCCCAGTGAGGAGAAAGGACTAGCTAGTTGTTACTTCATCTCTCTGAGCTCACAGGTTTTCACCCTAGCCTTCGTATCTCAGGTCTTATTTAGAAATAGAACAATAGAAATTTAGTTGAAGCTCCAGTTAGCGGTATCCACTAAGCTATGGCCGGAGTGGCCAGACTGCTTCCAAAAAAGCAGGCCGCAACTGCGGAGATGAAATTCCTGGCAGAAAAAGCAGTAAATTAAGGCACAACCACTATGACCAAGTTAAAACAACAAAGCTCCAGTGTCAACATGCACAGGGAGAGAGTCACAACTCCCAAAGTAAGAAAAAGTTATCATATATTATTTGGAGCCACAGACACAGCCTTCTTGGTCATATTAATGCTATGTACTGAAGCATGCTAATGTGTTCTGGAACCAAAGAATCAGGCCAAGGGCCTCAAATCTAATGGATGAATAGAAATTCTGAGTTCTGTAACAAGTGTCAATATCACCAAATGGTGCATCTATGATCACAGGAAAGCCAATATCAACTCAACACTTAGAATGTGCCAGGAGTTGTCCTAAGAGCTGAGCATGGAAGTTCTTTCCACACGTACTTAGGCCCCATAATACTTCGAAAGACCCAGAGGCCTTTAATTAAGCTGTCTTAATTTCAAATTGTTTTAGGTTGATTTTATTTCAAATTGTTTTAGGTTGATTTTAATGTAACAATAATTCATATATAGTACAAATGCCATTCTTAGGTATAGTTACTTTATATCAGTACAGTTGTAAAATATAATTTTTAGCATTTCTTTACAAAGGAAGGGAGGAATGGGAGGAATCCATGATAACACGAACACCAAAAGCCTGTAAAAGCCCTAAAACAGTGCTGGAAATACCCTAAGTTTATCTACTGTTATTATCCCCACAGGACAGAGAGAAAGCTGAGTGTGCTAGTTAGCATTTACTATCAACATACACAACCACAATCACCTGGAAGGGGAGCACCAATGAGGAATTATCCAGACCGGGCTGACAGGTGGATATGTCTGTGGGACTGTCTTGACTTCTAATGGATCTGAATGTGGGCAGCACCATTTCATGGGCTGAGCCCTTAATTGTGTTAGAATAAAGAGACCAAGCAGCAAGCGGGCAAAGATGCCTTTATTTCCCTCTACTCTCGACTGTGGAGGTGATGCTTTAAGTTCTTGCCTTGACTCCCTGCAATAAAGACGCGCTACCTATATTAAGTCGAATAGAATCCTTTCCCCTGCAGAGGCTTGTGGGCAGGCATTTTATCACTACAACAGAAGTAAGAGTAGACCACTGCTGTGTAGGGAGATACCTGCCAGAGCCGTAGAGCTAATGAACTACAGAACAAGCACCTGAGCCCAGGGAGTCTGAGCCACAGCTCCCATTCCTAATCAGATGCCATACACTGCCTTTGCTAAGCTGAAGTATGTGTGGCCCCCAGTACCCTCTGAGCACTAGGACAGAAAATTAAGGACAAGGTAAGGTTCTTGATCTCAAGGGATATTTCACCTACTTGCAAAGGTTTCAAAGTAAAACTCAAACAGGTTGTAACACATTCACCAACTTGCCTTATAACCTTAAGCCTTCCTCTCTGAGTCTTATTTGTATAAGGGGGTAGGGAAAGGGAAGGAACTCAGAAGTTTAAGCTCTGACAAACCAGAATTCCCTTAATGGTTATTTAGCTCTCTCACAAAAACAAATGCTGCTCTCTGAGAAGCACAAAAGACTAAAAGATGGCAACGTTTTTATTTCCAAGGGGGAAACACCTCGATACAAAAGGGAGTGGTTGTCCATTTGTGAAGAGAGCTACCTGTGACTGCTGCAGAATGGCCCCCACCTCCTGTGACACTCCTGATGCACCCAGGCTCACAGAAGTTGCTCAGTTGCTGGGGAAGAAGAACATCTTCCTTGTGGCCAAGGCCAAGCTGCCCGTAGCTATTTGCACCCTGGAGATAAAATACAACACAGAAGAAAAGCAATTTGAAGGCCCAACTGTCAGCACCCATTTAGCCATCGGTGTCCCTCGCCCCAACACACCTCTCAGAGCCCATGACACTTCACACACCTATTCTCAGGAGGCTGTCTTGTCAATCTACATTGAGAAACCAGACCTATCTGTGAGCACTGTGATTCCTATTTCAGAGGCATCTTTGGCATCCACAACTTAGCCAACCATGTGGCTCACCTTTCCCTTCATATATACAACACTGTTCTAGTTTGTTGCTGGGGGAAGAGGACCGAAATTGATTTAGGGAAGGAAAGGGCAGGACCTCAAGCAGAAGCCATGGAGAACACTGCCTGTGATTAACTCTCTGGCTCTCTCCACTGACTTTCTTAGAAAGTCCAGGCCCATCGACCAATGGATGGTGCCACCCACAGTGGACTGGACCTTCCACATCAATTATCAACCAAGACAGTCTCTCACAGACGTGCTCACAGGTCAATCTGATTGAGGCCTTCCATTGACATCTCTCTCCAGTTGATTATATGAGGCATCCACAAGGGCAATAAAACCCAATTAAGACTAAACTGCCTTTGGGAATCAGACCAAGGAAGCCCTCTGATAAAAGCTAATTATCCAGGAGCTGGGAAAAGAAAAAAAATTGGGGGGGGGGGGAGATAAAGAAAAAGTTAGCAGAAAACGCTCTGGAATTAGTTTTGTGCTCCCCTCCCCACATCCTCACTGGGAAGCAGGCAATGACTTTCTGTATTTATTCAGTTAGCAGAGGATGCTGCATCCCTAACGGGAAGCATCATCATTTCACCTGTCCAGTACAAGACCTAGGCAGTGATCTCTAAAGGGCCTTTTCAAGTATAGCATTTGATGACTCCAAGATTCAGATCTCCCTTGTAGATCTACACTATCAACTCCATACATAGTTCAGGTCTAGGGGTACAGCAGAGCAACAGAGTGCTTACCTAGCATGTTCCTGGGTTCAATCGCCAACACTGAAGAAAAAAGTCTCTAGTCTGAAATGTTTACTGCTTGGTTACCTAAATAGAGTTCAGTATATATACAAATACATATCACAAAGATGCTGTAAAGAGAGGGCAATGTCCATTAAGTGAAACAGTAACATCTCTGCAACAAAAGAAACAAATACAATAGTGAATACACACTCTAAAGAGCCGAAGGCCCAGAATGTCCTAAGTTTTCAGAGCTGGCCGTATTCACTTAAAGAAGAGGAACTGTGAACCCACAGTTCTTAATGCTTCAGAAATTCCTCTCTTCAAGTGTCTACTCCCAAGCTGGTTCCTTTGGAGGTGAGCGGTGGAACCTTTAAAACCCATCTCCTGAGGACCCCTGAATGAGAACATGTGCCTGGAAACAACTACCAAGGCATGAATGCAATCACACCCTCCTGTCCGTTGAGTATTTCCAGTCACCTGAGCAGCAGGGTTCCAAGATGAAGAATGAGGTATGGGAGGGGCACAGGTCATTTTACAGGTGAGGAAACTGAGGCCCAGGGAGGCTTAAGTAATGATCCATAGCTATAAGGATGTACTTGGAAGCAGCCCCGAGGGTAAGCCACAGACTCTGGGCTGTTGCTCACCTCCAGCACTTCTGCACCGTTCTCTTCCTTGTATCCTTCCAGGCACTACAGTGAGTCTTGCCTACTTGACTTGTCTACCGCCTCTCCTAGAGACAGACCATGAAGGCAGGGACTTGGTCTTGCTCATAGCTACTCCCCTAAACCTGAAACTGCATTGGCCACGTCAGGTCCAAGGCTCCACTCTGGAAAGGTTCTCTGCAGAGTGAAGCAGAGAACATGTGCTGGGGTCTCTATCCAATCGGGTTGCCCCATTACCAGGAGGGAGAAGACAGGCAGGAACAACCCCAGGTTCACGCTATGTACCAGTCTCTAGTGCAGCAAGCGGCCTTAAACCTTCCTTCTTTACAAAGGATCCAGACGGAGCTCATGCGCGCACGCACACACACACACACCCTTGTGGGAGGATGAACTGTGTTCCTCTAAAATTTCTACGTTAAATCCCTACCCTCTTACATGTCCCTGTATGGCTGTTTCCGGAGACACAACCTTTAAAGAGGTAATTAAGGTTAGCCGATGAGACAGTAAGGGTGGGGCCCTAGTGCATCCATCCAGTCTCTTCCTAAGACACCAAGGATACCCACCTGCACACAAACAGCCACCTGAGGCCTCAGAGAAATCAAAACCATCCATACCTCAATCTTGAACTTGCAGCCTCCAGCTCTATGAGAAAATAAATTTCTATTGTTTAAGAACCCAGCCTGTGGTGATTTGTCATGGCAGCAGGAGCCAACTAATACACGCACCCTGAATACGCAACAGGAAGACTATGCCAGAAGGCCTCCAAGTACACTAGAAAAGTGAGGTTCGACCCTGTTCTGCCTCTGTCCATTTAAGGCCGCATCTGAAAGGCTTTTTCTGTCAGATGTTTTTCCATTGACAGAAAAACAATAGTCTCCTGGCTGGAAAATGACAGGCAGCAACACATTCAGTTATTAACCCTGCCCCCGCCTCAAGTGCTACCTCAGGGAGCTGAGTCAGCTAGACCATGCCATGATCTCCCTTCCAACAGCCTTACACTCAACAAGTGAAAGATATGTCAATGAATACTAATCTTGGCAGAAACATAGGTGCTATAGCCTCCTCTAGCAGAGGAACTAGAACACCTTTACATATATGTATTTCCCAAACATTAGCACATGGCTGTGCACACAGGTACTCATTTATTTGTTTCATCCATTCGTTCATTCATTCATTCTTTAGTCAACAAATATTTCCCTGGAGTCTACAAGATGCCAGGCACCAAGAGAGCCAATGTGAACACCACTAGCTCAGTACTCACTCTCAGAACACCTCCGCTGTAGCCAAGGAGACTGCCGTTAACAAATCATGCATCCTATTACAATTTTGGCATTTAATATTAAGAACTGCAACACCCAACATATGCTTCCTGCCACGCATGTCCCCCACATTCGCGAGCATAAAGTCACACATAAGGATTCTGTCAAAGTTCAGTGTCAAACCTAAGCAGCCAAGACTTCCACGACCCCAGAAAAAGCAAGATCCGGTCCGAGCAGAGTAACAGCAAATACGCAGGGTCCGCGCCTCTCAGGGCCACACTCCACAGGCCTAACATCCACAGGATGCTCCCCAGGGTGATGGCGCTGGAAAGGAGCCTCCCATCCTCCAGGCGAAAGAAAGATTCGATGACACAGGTGGCCCTACGAGCTTTGGCATCAAGCGATCTTCTCTCTGTCCAGCCTCCACGCTGTCTTCCCAGGCGCTGAGGCAGCCGAGAGCTTTCCCAGAATGGACGCTCTGCCCTGAAGGTAGGGTCTACCCGAAGTGCCTCAGTCCCTCCGGTCCTCAAGCCCCAGTTAGCAGCAGGCCCCTCAGGCACCGCGGGGAGACCCTCCCTCCGAACCCTTTCCTTCCTGCCGCAGCCCAGAGTGCTCAACCCAGGACCCTGGCTTGGGCCTCTGCCTCTCAGCTCCCGCTTCACCCACGCAGACCCCGGGCGCTCCCGGGTCTCCGCGCCCCTCAGTCGCTTCCCGAGACCGGGGGCGGAGTCACGTACCCAGCAGAAGAGCGCGGCCGCGGCGGAGCCAGCCTCCGCGACACAGGACTCGCGCGCCATGCCCACGCTCCACCGGCACTTCCGGAAGGGGCTGGCACGGGGCGGGGCCGCGGACGTCAGGGGGCGGGACGAGGCCGGTAGCTGAGCGCAGCCTGCGGGACGAATCGAGGGACTAGGCAGGGCCCGTGGGCCTAGAGTGGGAGGATGCTGGGAACAGTTCCCCCCTCCCGCCCGCACTCCGACAACGCGAAGGAACTCAGTCAAATCGCTGTCAGAGCGGACCTCGCGGCCGCCAGGCAACACACCCGTGTTGGGGGAAAGTGTTCTGCACCCACGCTCGTAATTCCGCATCACACTCAGTCATTCAGAAAGCTCTCTACGTGCCCCATGCTGCCCAAAGGGCTGACCTGACAAGGATAACACAGCGTGGTACGAAAGGGAGCTGAGCCCGGAGGTGGGAAGGGTCCAGTGCGGAGTCCTCCAGGAGCTGCCTTAGCCCGCTTCTCTGTGCATTTGGGAACCTGAGAGTATTGGGTGGCGGTGGTCGCATTCTAAGCCTAGCCTCACGACGGGAATGGGCCCCTGGTAACACCCCTAGTACTGGCTATTGTCTATTTTGTCCCTGCGCTGTCCCTCCCCTCCGCAACTGCCTACCCTAATTCTGATCATCGGTATGAATAATTCTCATCCAAGATAGATTTTCATATAATATGGCTTTTATCGACCATGTCATGACGTTGGAGGGAATTAAATAGTACAACGTACCAATACGCACTGGGAAAGTGGAATTCAGAACCTGGAGTGGGGGGAGATAGGGTCACATTTAAGGCAATGATCTACGTTCACAACTCTGGCCTCTCTGTAGACAGGTCTTAGGGACTTCATCCTGCCTGCTTGGCGCTCACATTGGAAAGTGTCTCCGGGAAGTTACTGTCCAGGTCTCAGCTGTTCATGTTCCTCACTCCTTGGCTTGTTTCTGCCTGCTGGACCTTGTGAAGACAGCCCCTCCTCAAGACTGTGAAATCTTGAGAGGGTGGATGGTGCTGCTTAGAGCACACAGGCAAGCCAGGCCCAGCTGCTCTGCTCCCAAAGTCCTGAGAGATCCAGCGCAATATTTACTGCTTTTCTGTTGAGGCTTTCCTTTCAAGCATGTTGTTATAGGATGTCACAGTTGGGTGTAGCAGGACCGTTCTCTGTCCTTTTCAGCAGTTCCCAAAGCAATACATGCCAAAGCAATACATGCCAATAACTCACATATTACAAACTAAGGTGGATCTGTTCAGGTCTCGTACATGTTTGTCACAGCCTCTGTGCAACGAGGGGGAGAAATGGGCACAAAAGTCCCACTCCTAACTAAGAAGCTATTTGCAGCTGATACATGGGAAAGAAAAAAAATTGGTTTTCTCCAATGGAGTGGACTGGGTGTATCAACCGCACTCCTGGGCGGACCCCATGCTCAGGAGCACCTGACCAACACAAAACAGACTCCATGTTTCATGTGTGGTTTTTGGTGGTGGTGGTGGTGGTGGCATGGCTTGGTGGTTTTTTTGTCCTTTGGGTTTTAGTTTTTCTTGTGGGGGGTGTTGAGAGGAAATGAGAGAGAGGTGAAGAGGACCTGGAGGACTTGAGGGAGGGAAAAGAATATAATCAAAATAAATTGTATTAAAAATTTTTTAAATAATGTTTAACAATCTTGTACAATACAGGAATTTCTAGAGGCATCGCCATCCCTGACTTCAAGCTCTACTATAGAGCTATAGTAATAAAAAAAAGCTTGATATTGGCATAAAAACAGATATGTGGATCAATTGAATCAAATCAAAGACCTTGACATAAATTCACAAGCTATTAATATCTGATTTTTGACAAAGAAGCCAAAATTATACAATGGAAAAAAGAAAGCATCTTCAACAAATGGTGCTGGCATAACTGGATGTCAACATGTAGGGAAAACAAATAAATCCATATCTATTGCCCTTCACAAAACTCAAGTTCAAATGGACCAAAGGCCTCAAGACAAATCCAACCACATTGAACCTGATAGAAGAGAAAGTGGGAGTTAATCTCAAGTGCCTTGGCACAGTAGACCACTTCCTAAATATAACACCAATAGCACAGACACTGAGATTGACAATTAATAAATGGGACCTCCTGAAACTGAGAAGCTTCTGTAAGACAAAGGACACTGTCATAAGACAAAATGGCAGCCTCTGAGTGGGAAAAGATCCTCACCAACCCCACATCTGACAGAGGGCTGATCTACAAAATATATAAAAAACTCAAGAAGCTAAACATCAAAATATTGAATAATCCAATTAAAAATGGGGTACAGATCTAAACAGAGAATTCTCAACAGAAGAATCTCAAATGGCCAAAAGACACTTAAAGAACATCTTTAGTCATCAGGAAAATACAAATCAAAATGATTCTGAGATTCCATCTTACACCTGTCAGAATGACTAATATCAAAAATACTGATGACAGCTTATGCTAGAGAGAACGTGGAGTAGGAAGCATTCCTCCACTGCTGGTGGGAGTGCAAACTTGTACAGCTACTTTAAAAATTAGTATGACTATTTCTTAGAAGATTGGGAATCAATCTACCTCAAGACACAGCTATATCAGTTTTAGGCATATACCCATAGGATGTGGAATAATAACACAAGGATACTTGATCAACTAAGTTCATAACAACATTATTTTAATAGCCAGAACCTGGAAACAACTTAGATGCCCCTCAACAAAAAAAAGAAAAAAAGAGAAAAAAATGGATAAGGAAAATATGGTACATTTGCACAATAGAGTACTACTCAGCTGTAAAAGATACTCTCGTGAAATTTGCAGGCAAGTGGGTGGAAGTAAAAAAACTCATTCTGAGCGAGGTAACCCAGACCCAGAAAGACAAACATGATATGTACTCACTTATAGGTGGTTATTAGGAGTAAAATATAAGATATCTAACCTACAATCCACAGCCCTAGAGAGACTAGATAACAAGGAAAACCCAAAGAGGGATGTATGGATTTCCCTGGGAAGGGGAAGTAGAAAAGATCTCCTGAGTAAACTGGGGGCAGGGGTTGGGAGGATGGAGGGATGGAAACTAGAGGAAGCAGGTTGGGCAGGCTGGGAACAGGAGGTGGTTGGAAGCAGGATGGAGGGGAGAGTAACAGAAGAGACACCTTGATGGCGGGGGTCCATTTCGGGGTTGGGGAGGAACCTGGTGCCAAGGAAACCCCCAAAGGACCCACAAGGACGACCCCAACTAAGACTCCCAGCAATAATCTGTAAGCAGATTGGTGACTTCCCTAATTGCCATCAGAGATACTCGATCCATTAACTGATAGAAGCAGAGATCACAGACAAGCACAGAGTAAGAAGAGAGGGAGGAAGGATTGTACCAGCCAGGGAGTCATAATGGGGGAACCCACAGAGACAGCAGACCTGAGCTTCCAGGAGCTCATGGACACTGGACCAACAGTCTGAGAACCTACATGAAACCAACCTAGGCCCTCTGTGTGTGTGTGTGACAACTGTGTAGCTTGGTCTCTTAGTAAGGCTTCTAACAGGGCAGGACCTCTCCCTGGTGCTTAGCTGGCTTTTGGTAACCTGTTCCCCATGCGCATCATGCCTGGCCCTGCCTCAAGAGTAGGAGCCCTGGTCCTGCTTCAACTTCACAGGCCATGCTTTGTGCAAGCCCATGGGAAGCCTGCCCCTTTAGAAATGGAGATGGAGGAGGAGTGGATGGGGAGGGGGGTAGATAGAAAAAGGGAGGGGGTGAGAGGAGAGGAAGGAGGGGAAGCTGATGGTATGTAAAATAAATGAAAAAAAATGTTATTTAAATAAAAACAGAAAGAAAATAATGTTTAAATGTAATTAAAAAAAAAGAAATACAGTAAGGTGGGAGAAACAAAACCTGAACTTGTGAAGCAGATCTCGAGAAATATGGATGGATTCCTGCCTAAGAGATGAGAGAGGCTGAAAGAGATCCCGAGCGGAAAAGAGGCTGAGAGTGTGATGTGAACCCCACCCATTTCAGCTCCAAGGAAAGATTCTGCAAAATGGGGCAAAGAAAAAAAAAAAACAAAAACATCTGAATTGGGGAAAGTCTGGCTCATGATGAGAAATGCAATACCTAGCCACCAGACCAGGGCTGATGGCTCAGAGAGCCTGAGACTCGGGGAGGGGGGGTCTCTGCCAAAGTCAGCACTACCCGAGTCTTAGACTCTGATGGAGAGAATTTAGAGGTATAAAATGATAACCATGGGACAGTTGGCCACTAGATCCCCAGAGACTGATAGAGATGAAGCTCAAAGTCTCTTACTCAGAGAGAGACACCAACATCAAGAGATACTGAGGTCTTGCAAACCACCCAAAACAGAGTGAACTGACATTAATACTTAACAAGAGCAGAAAGGTCTGGTGCCTCACAACACTTAGCCCAACAAGAATTTTCCTGCTTCTTCCAGCTCCCTACTACCTGCCACTTAGGTGCTCAAGGAGACCAAGCCTCTAGTGAGTGGGGGAGGGGTGTAAGGAGCTAAAGAAGCAAATGAACTCTAGTCTCAGTCCTAGAGGAGGAAGAAGGCTCTGACGCTAAAGCCTGTTTTTCTCAGTACATAGTAGAGGACTTCCTTTTGTGGCGCTTCCGGTGGAATCCAAGGCATTATACAAGCTAGAAGAGAACACTAACCCTAAACTACATCCCTAGCCCTGGGCTGGACCTTTAAAATCCTGATGTGGGAGGGGGTGCAAAGCAGAGCTGCTTACAGACCAATTTTAAGGAATGTGGGAAGTAGATGGTTTGGATGAGAAATGTCCCCATTGACTCTGGTATTTGAACACTTGGTCCCCATTGGTGGCGCTGCTGGGGGAGGTTGTGGAACTTTCGGGAGGCGCAGGCGCTGCTGGGGGAGGTTGTGGAACTTTCGGGAGGCGCAGCTTTTGCTTCAGTCTGTCCGTTTGCCTACCTAAGACTGAGCAAGTGCTGTGTTCCCAAGGCAAAAAGTGGGACTAAACCTGAATTTCAGGGGTTCTTTCGCTTCTCCAAATGAAGTAATCTAGTACAGGAAAGCAGAGCTTCCGGAGCCCCCTCAGCAGAGTCCTCACAGCAGGGACCAGGTCAGAGTAAGTGAGGCGGAACAGAGGCCAAGCTGTTTTCCACAGAAAGGTTGCCAAGCTGCTTCTGACCAGTTCCCTCAACTAGAAAAGCTGCCAGAAAGTGTATTTTGTTTTTGTTTGTTTGTTTTGTTTTGTTTTAAAAATATGCTTCAAGTCATCGGAGAGCTTCTAGAGCAACGGAAACGCAAAGGGCCCGGACAGGAAGCCAAGAGGTTCTACTGGCACTCCCCCTTTCCCTGGAGCAAGCAAGCAATGGCTTGGAGGCTGAGAATCTGAGGTGAGAGTAGCAGTTGAGAAACTGAGCCGTGATTTTATATCACTGTGGAGGGGGTGGGGAGAGCGATGAGAGAGCCAGGTCCCCTAATGTACACTTTGTGGGACCCCTAGAGGGGCTACACTGTAGTGGCACTTCATTTGTACTTTATTAAATAAAACTTACCTGAAGATAAGAGAAAAAAACCAGCCCCACTGGCAAGCCTGACAGACCAGGCATCAATAACACACACCTTTAATCCCAGTAGCCACACTAGCTTGACATAGAAACCGGGCAGTAGTGGTGCATGCCTTTAACCCCAGAACTAGAGAGGAGTATAAAACAGTAGGAGACAGCTCTCAGACTCAGTCTTATTCTGAGATTCCTGGAGGCAGGATCGCCATTTCGGACTGAGGTAGAGGTAAGAGCCAGTGGCTGGATGTTTTGCTTTTCTGACCTTCAGGTTGAACTCCAATATCTGTCTCTGAGTTTTCATTAGTCGTGCTTCACTACAGAGAGAGCAGAGATGAACTGGGAGTAGACCAGCCTCACCAAGATGAAGCTCAGCTTCTTGTTGGCTCCATCCCCAAGTGGACCAAGATCATCCCGTGCCATAATAAATACACTGACTGCCAGAAATAGCAGCTATTCTCTCTGGAGGAAGGCAGAATCATCCAGAAGATGTGAGGGAACCCTACTCAGAACAGTTATCACTAATGAAGAAAATAGTATGGTGAAGACCAGAAGAGGGCATCAGAGCCCCTGGAGCTGGAGTTACAGGCAGCTGTGGGCTGGCAGATGTGGGTGCTGAGAACAATCTCAGGTACTCTGTAAGAGAAGTGAGTGCTCTTAACTGATGAGAAGCCGTCTCTTCAGAACCATAAATCTGCTTCTTATAAAGCCTCGTGTGATGTAATTATGAGACCTGGCTCACATTCAGCTGAGGAACAGGAGAGAGAAGACTTCCCAATGAATGGTGACGAGAGCCAGGTGTGCTCAGCTTCACCGCAGCTCACGGCTATACACTTTAAAGAAGTAGAGAGGCATATGGTCTTTATTTTATATTTTGCACTTTCTTAAAAAAATGTTTGGAGTTGGTATGCAAAGTAATGGGTTCCATTGTGGCATTTTCATTCTTTGTTCCAATTCATTGTCCTCCCCCATGGCTGATTCTTTGTATCAACCATCACCACTGCTAGGGTCTCTAAACTAAATGATTGTGAATATAAAATTGAATCTATTTTTAATGTATGATTGACAAAAAAAGAAAATAGTTGTTGAGGGGCAAATGGCTCAGCAGTTAAAGGTGCTTGTGGCCAAGACTGATAACTGGAGTTTGATTCTTGGGGTCCACATACATACACACAAAATAAAATAATAAAATGTACTTAAAAGAATACTTTTTAAGAACATGAACTTTGAGTTTATTGTCCAATAGAATAGCAAACTTTTAAATTATAAATTTACATTACACAGTGTGATGAAGACAAGTGAAATGGATCACAATTATCTTTATCCACTTCATAGACATTAACATGTGGTCTCTGCTATTTATTGCTTCTGAGAAGTCCTGGCTTTTTTCTTTCTCTGGAAACCAACTTACAAATTATCAATGATTCCGCACATTTTGCTGTATCTTGCTACTTATGTAACTCCAAATGCCAAAGCGTGAAGTTAAGGAACACAGGAATCTGATGATTCATATTTCTCTTTTCTCTGAAAAGGCAAACATGCTACTGTGGTCAGGAATGAGTCTCTGGTAAAGAACTGCAAGCCATGCTTTTGATTTCATTCTGTCCTAGTGTTTGGATAAGTATTTAAATTTTTTTTAGGTATTTTGAAAACTCTAAAACTCTTGGATCCCTGATTTGCCAAATGTCATGATCCAGAGGTTAGACAAAGTCAAGGACGCCACTAAATATTTCCACTATCCTGAAGCCACTAACGGTAATGTTGTGGTGATACTGTTTATTTTAAAGTGAATTAGTCAGAACAAATAGTAAGCACAGTCATTCAAAGACCCACTAACTGTGATTCTCCAGCATCATCGAAGTCTTGTGAAAATAACCAGACACAGCAGATAGGGTCTCTGCTGTCTGTCATGATTTCTTTATAGTGCTTTTTCTGGTGACTAAGCAGACTAGCTGGCCTGTACTTCAAATGATTTCAGACGTGCTCACATATCTACTCACTGCGTACGGATGCTCAGTAGCTGTGAAAGCGACAGTTTATAAAGAGCTGAGACAGCGGAGTCACCCTTCCTCAGTCTGCTTCCTCGCAGAGCATGGGATGGAATACAGCATTGTGGGACATTTGCACACTGTGTGACGATGTGTTGTTGTGATTCGTTTTAATAAAAACCTGAACAGCCAATAGCTAAGCAGGAGAGGTTAGGTGGGACTTCCGGGCAGAGAGAGGAACTCAGGGAGATGCATCTAGACAGACAGAAGATGCCACCAAGACTTGGAGTAAATTGTATGAGCAGAATGGAGGAGAGGCAAAAAGTCATGTGACAGAGTGTAGATTAATGGATATGGGTGTTTAAGTTATAAGAGCTAATTGGGAACAAGCCTAAGCCAAAGGCCAAGTTTTCAAATTTAATAATAAGTCATTATTTGGGGGGGGTCCCAAAGGAAGTCCGAGAAGACTGACAACAATGAGGCTGTTAACAATTTCCTCTGATGTCTTCAAAGGATGTAAAAAAAAAAATCTAGTGTAAAAAATCTAGTGGGCTTGAAATGAAGCATGTTCAATGGTATTTGATTTTACTATTACTGTGAAAAATAGAGGTTTTTAATTTCTTTATTTTATGTGTATAGACGTTCTGCCTGCATGTGTGTCTGTGCACCATTTGCAGACCTGCCTGTTATTCATGGAGGCCAGAAGAAGACACTGGATCCCCTAAAACTGGAGTTACAGATGGTTATGTGCCACCATGTGGGTGCTGGGAATCAAACCCAGGCCCTCTAGAAGAGTGGCCAGTGCTCTTAACTGCTGAGCCCACTGTCCTGCCCTGGTAGTACTGAACTCCTAAACTGTACTATAGGATCTCGATCTCTCTCTCTCTCTTTCTCTCTCTCTCTCTCTCTCTCTCTCTCTCTCTCCTTATCCCTCTCTTTCCCTCTCTTTCTACCTTCTTCCTTATCTTGTCTTCCCTCTTTCTTTTTCCATCTTTTTTGAAGTTTATAGCTTTGCTCTGCAACATTCTCCCACAATGCCTTGCTTCATCACAGACTTAGAACACAGGAATAACTTCTAATGGACCAAAGCATCCAAACCTATGAGCAAAGATAAACTTTTCCTCTTTGTACATCGGTTGCCTCTGCACTCCGTTACAGTAGTGAAGAGTTCAGACAACGGCTTCTGCTCCTGCTCCGCATCTGCATCCCTACCCTCCACCCTCACGGTCCCCACACAATCACACTCTCAGAGCAGACTGCCCTCCCTGGCCCTTCTCTGTTTCTTTCCTCGTTTCCTACCCTCTTCCCTCACTGCCTTCTCACAGTCTTATGTTCTACTGTGACACCTTGAAATAAGGCACCAGGGAGACCTGGAATTGCAGGCACTGCCATGCCTGGCTGAGTCTTTGTGACTTCTATATCCTCGTCTGACACTGCACTTGAAGCCAACTTGCTCTTTACTAGTCACTCTAGAGGGCCAAGCGCTCTGCACGTCTGTCCATGCTAGCAGTGGTGACAGCTGGCCTCCTAAGTCTAGTCTGTGAATGTGCCTGAGCTGTGATAAAGTAACAGCTTCAGATACACTCGTCAGGGCATTCAAAGTGACCATTTGCTGATGACGAACTGGTGGAAATAGCATCAAGGTAAGACCAACTCTGACCAGTGTCAAACAACTTGCCCATCAAAAGTGGATATTCAGTAAAAAGGCTGTGATGCTGGGGGATGGGGTTGGAGGAAAGAAAGGGAAGGGGACGATGATTTAACTATTTTTTAATGAAATAAAATATTTTAAGTGGGCATTTGGTGAATCACATGATATGTTAATTATATTTCCCTAAGCAGGTGCCAAAAGACAAAAGAAGAAGGAGGAGCAGGAGGAAGAGAAGGAGGAGGAGGAGGAGAAGGAGAAGGAGAAGAAGGAGAAGAAGGAGAAGGAGAAGAGGAGGAGGAGAAGGAGGTTAAAGCATCCAGGTGTGCATTTTCAGAGACAATGAGTGATTTATTAGAGAGAGATGAGAAATTTTGTTAAGCTGGGAGCTGGTGTCCTCCTCAAGCAGGTCTTCAGGAGAAGCAAGAGATGTCCCTGGCCCTGAACTGAAGCTCACTGACTTTCTGGATTCAGACTGGAGACAATCACACACTGGGTTGCCTGCTGACCCGAGCAAGGGCATCACTGATGACATCGAGGTCATACCGCAACTCATTCACAGCGCTGGTTATGCTCTTGGTGTCTCTCAGAACCTGAACACTCTGAGTATACGGATTGTACTTCACTCCAAATGGGCGCTTCATGGTTTTGCTAAATTCTCTATTTAAGACAACAAGGAAGGGAGTGTTAATTTCTATGAGTGTAAGTGATAAAACCCTAACAAAAGACAGAAGACCTGGTCACACAGAGACACACACACACAGACACACACACACACACACACACACACACACACACACACCTGCTTTCTCTGTCCTGACATCAGTGACCTCAACACCATCTACTGTGGCCTTGGAGTGAAAGCTCAATCCGTCCTTCTTCCTCTCCCTCTTCCCCCTATCCATTCTCCCTTACTGAGCACTAATCCCATGTCTTATGTCATGGAAGTGATCTACAACCCCTCTGTTGACCTCTTGACTTCACTAAGGGCATTACTTTCAGTAGCTTTATCTGTCAGTATGTCAGAAGATAATGGCAATACTGAGCCACAAAGTAAGACACTCTTCAGCTATGCTTTACATAATAAAAAGAGGGGACAGGATGGGGGGGGAGAGAGAGAGAGAGAGAGAGAGAGAGAGAGAGAGAGACCTAGCTTCCCATACTTGTGTGATTTTTTTTTCAGCTTAGAAGGTTTCTAGCTTCCTCTCAAGTGACTTTAATCCTTTAATCCCCCCACCCTTTCCTCATGGTTTAAAATATGTTTCCTTTATCAACCCAACATTTGAACCTCTTACTTGGTATCCTACAGAACAATCATGCCCAAAACCCCAAAGAATAACTGCATAGCTTGGAACAAGTGTACATGCTTGGGTACTAGAATCCAGGCTCCCATCCATCTGGTCTCCTCATCAGTGGGGACCACTGCAGCTTTGCCTAAGGATGCCATCTGTGCTGGAGAAAGCACAGCTGCTATTGTTATTTGATTTTGTGCATAGCAAGCTCCTGGAAGATAAGCATTATCTTCAACCCTGCAATCCCCTGTCCTCACATTCCTGACTGCCTTCATTACATGCTCTTTTCTGGATCCTGCTTCCATAGTCACTTCTTCCCTGCTACCTCTATCTTAGTCCAGATTTTACTTTCACCTGGAGTTCAAAAGTATCTGAAGTAGCTGTGTTCCAGCTCTCCCCACGTGACAGCATGCTTACCTGATGCCGAGGCAGGAGATCTGACTGCACTGAAATATCCCCATGCATTTCTATCACTCTTTCTTTCTCCATGCCATTTCAGCCTAAAACTTGATACGTCTCAGTTCTAGCTAGTCTTCTGTCTGTCTCACTTGCTTCCAAGATTTCTGAGATTCTCCAACTGGAGAGGAGACCAATGGAGGCAAAACAGTGTTTCCTCTCTGTCTCCATTCTCATCACTTCCCTATTACTCAGTATTGTGTCTGTAGTTACTTTTCCATGCTGAACTATAAATTCTGCTGGGAAGGAATGGGGAGGAGCCAGTCCCTCAATGTATACCATTCCCATATGCAACTACTTAACATATGATATTCAACCTATTCTAAACAACTGATATGTCTTAGGTAGAAAGCTCCTGGTGGGCATCCAATTACCTACTTGCTTATACCTGTGATTATTGTATCTTTGGATATTATTTTTGCAGCAAATGGAAGCTTGAGGGAGATAGATTTTACCTCATCTTCTCCTTTGCATCTTCAAAGCTTTCAGACACAAAGTAGACATCCTGGAAAGTTGTGATGAGACACTCCTGCTTGCAGGCAACCTTGGGATCAAAGGGCTTGACTTTGGCATGTCCAGAAAGCGCATGCTGGGGGACAAAGCATGGTGATCAAATACTGCCTCTATCTTCACAGAATTCATGACTGCAGCTACTGACACACCTCTGATCTGAGTTATGCAAGGGACTGACACACTACATTGCTGCTTCATCCAGTCTAGCCCAAAAGAGGCTTGCTGTCCCCCACAAATGACTCAAAACCATCTCCAGGGTTTTATTTTAACTTTCTTCACCACATAGGAGGAACCCAAGTATCTTTTCGTTTTATTTTTTCATTTATTTACGTATGCATTATGACACCTACTGTCTACCTCCACTAGTCACTTTCACACTTCTACCCACCACCACAGAGCAGCCACCTTTAGCACTGGACAGTACCTTGGACAGCGTTTGCCGCGCGACTCACTGCACAGAGCTCTCTCTCAGGCAACTAGGTTTCACTTCCCTACTTGGTTCAGAATTTACTGCCTTGCATCCCAGAAATTTGTTTAAAGCTTTAAAACACTTTCTACTTAAAAGACACATTTTTTTTTTAGAAATTTGCCACAGTAAAGGCTTGTCAGATGCAAGCTCTGCCTCCAGTCATGTTGAATGTGTTGGTGGACACAGATATGTGCAAAGACCGATGTCTCTTACTTTGAGCTCACTGATGGAAGAAAGCAAGCCAGCGCCAAAGACTCTCAGCTGTCCATCTTGTTTGCACAGGCCAAACTCCACAGTGAAAAAGTAGCACTGCAAAAGGATGCCAACGTCACGTTCACATCCTGAACATCTCACGCTAAAGAAATTCCAGTTCTTAGTCACCGACCCAAAGTACACCCAGAATCAAGCCCAGGACTTCCAGCCTAGGCCCCAAGTCTTTCCACAATCTGTCCCTGTTGTGCACCAGGACTTTCTAAACTTGGGGTAAAGACTCTAATACAGGGTTGAAAATTACTGAGGAGTTCAAAGATCTCTGTGTGTGTATGTGTTACCCCTAGTTATACTGACCATATTAAAGTTAAAACCAAGAAACAGTTAAGGTGCTTAAAAATCTGTTTTAAATGTGGTAAACCCATTGTATGGCTACATAAGTAACACTTGATGAAAGTATATTTTACAAAACAAAAAGTGACAAAAGACTAGCATTGTTTTATAATTTTTATTCATCTTTTAAATTTATTTTGATTCTTTTTACTTATGTGTATGTGGGCAGCTACAAAGGCCAGAGAGGGCATGGGATTCCCCTGGAGCTGGAGTTAAAGGAGCCAAACCTGAGTCCTCTGGAAGAGCAGGAAGAATGCTCCCAACTATGTAGCCAGCATCTTTTTAACTTTAATTTAATTTTTTTACATTTATTTGCATGTGTGTGTGTGTGTATGTGTGTATGTGCACGTGCATACATGCACACACATGTCTGTGAAAGGTCAGAGGACACCTGTGGGGTAAATTCCTTCCTTCCACCATGGAATGAAACTCAGGTCATCAGGCTTGGTGGCACTGAGCATCTTGCTGACCCTGATTTTAATTTTTGACAATTACAATCCTATGGATTCACAGTGTGGAGGGACTGAGTCAGCTAACCCCACACTGTTCACGTCTTGTCCATGTCTGGCTAGACAGTATTTAATGTCTGATGGGAAGGCAGATGGATTGCCATATCTGCTTCTGTATTTGGTTCAAGTATATGAAGAAAGCTCAGCTTTACGCAGTTATGCAGTTAGAAAAGGGCAGGTATTTGGCTCTCCTCTTCAAAGAAATGTGCATATTCTTTAACTACCTCACTCAGCATATGGCGGTCACTTAAAGTTCAGACTCAATGTGGCATCTGAGCCCTGTCTGTCACATTAAAAATACACTATGTGTCTTTTACTTATGAATAATTTTGTCCTCAAGGACTTCACACAAGGTCTCAGGGATGCCTAACATCCCTAAACCATAACTTCGTAACCAGTGAGTCTATTTTCAACCCTTCTCCACCCTCGGGTATCTCCCAGTGGTACCAAGCCTATATTCATCTGTCTTAAGCCTCATCCTAAAATGTCCTTCCTTCCTTCTCTGGTTCATAAGACATCACTCATTTTTTTTATCTAAAAATTAGTATATTAAATCAATCTTGTGCTTTCCTGTCTTGTTTCAATGTTGTGTTTCTTTTTGAGAAACCTTAAATTTTTATAACTTCATTTGACATCATTTAAATTAATAAACATGCAAAGCAAAAACAAATTTTCTAATGGCTACCTTGAACATGGACTTCAAACTACCCAAATACTCCCAAGCACACCCCGTGGAGAATACTGGACTATAGAGCATTCTCCAGATATATACCGTTGCCAGTTTTTGAACAGTTTCCTCTGAAGCTCCAAGGGAAGCCAGGCCAATTTCTTGGGAGAATTGAGCAAAACTGGGTTCAGCCAAGAGAGGAACATGACCTAAGAGTTCATGGCAGGTATCTCTGAAACGGAGACACAATCTGTCACGCTGTGATGCTTGGCACAAATGCATCAACTACTGTTGAATCCAACCCACAGTCAACCTTGCTCTTACTCTAGTTGATCAGGAGTGATAGATGACAAGGGATATTAACTGAATACAGAAATGCCATTGGTTCCAAATCTTGTCTTCTCAACACACATCCACTGACATCCCAAATCCCCCACTTAAATCTAGCAACTACTGCCATGCTTCCTCATCAAGGCCCTATCTGATCACACTTCCCAAAGCAATTCCCACATACATGCCTGTATCCTTTCTTCCCTAGTTTGAATTTTTCCCCATGGCACACACCGTCATCTGACATGAAACATACTACATTTACTTGTTTGTCATTTGTATATTCCCCAAAATAAAACTTTATAAGGACAATAATTTTATCTGATTTTACACCCTTTCTGCACAGAACTGCACCTGGCATCTAACGAGTTGACAACATAATAATAATTATTAATATTACTAATAACTGATTGTTATGGAGTATGCGTTAATGCCAGTCACTATCCTAAAGGCTTGGCATATGCTGCTTCATTGAACACTTACAAGACGCTTTGTGATGTGGGTACCATTATTATAAACAACTACTCGATGAATGAATGACATAAGTACTTACGGCTCTGGAGTATAGAGGGGATCTGAGCTGTGTCTCACATACTGAGTGCAGTGAAAGACTCGAAAGGCTAACCCTGACAGGAAATCTCTTGGTGAGAGGTAACCAGCCACAGGACGGATGGAAAACCCTGTACATTCTGCAAAACAAAGTAGAAAACAGAAAGCGTTTACCTCAGACATAGACCACTGACGTTGGCCAGTGGCACCAGGTAGCTCTTCCAAGGGGGTGTGGAAACTAAAACGTAGCTATGTGTACTATAGTAGGCTAAGCATGATTAAGCACATCCCATGAACAGGCAGTCATCCTTTACCACACCTTCTTGCATGCTTACAAAAGGATTTTTCTCATTGTTGTAAAAGGTATAAAACACTTAACAATGTGATCAAAGAGCACAGGAGATGATAAAGGTGAAACACAAGTTCAGTCAGCCTTAGGTTACACTTGGTGCCCTCCTTCAAATGTGCAGGGTAGTTTTAACTCTTACACACTGACAGTAGAAATTTTACTGGGGCAGTTATTGTGGAAGTTTCTCAAAAAGAAAAAACAAAACAAAACTAAGACTAGAACGACGGCATGACCCAGGTAGAGCACGCGTGGGCATATTTCCAAAGGGCACTAAGTCAGCGCACCACAGAGATCCTTGTGCATCTGTGATTATTGCTGCACTAATCACAGGGAGTCAGCCTAGACGGCCATCAGCAGCACACACACACACAGTGGGATCACATCCCAGCATTAAGAAAAATGACATCACAGCATCTGCAGGAAAATGGATGTAACTGGAGTTCGTCGCAGTAAGAGTGAGCCAGACTCAGAAAGACAAATACGGAATGTTTTCTCTTATACGCGGAACCTAGATTGAAATCCCCATATATGTGCGTCTGTGTGTGCGCGTGGATGTGTGTGCATGCGCATGTGTATGTGTAGGTCATGAAACTGAAAGGGGATTATGAGGGAGGAGAAGGGGCCTTAGGGAAGGGGAAGAGGGGGAAGAGAGTATAATGGGATGCATGTGGCATGAAAGCAGAATTGGCACTGTTCAGAAGAAAGGGGCAGTAGAGGACAATGGCTCCAGACATATGGCACATAAGCATAAAATACCATAATAAAGTCTATTACTTAATGTGGTACTTGAGAAATTCATTTTAAAAGATTTTTTTCAATCATAGTCATTTTTATTCAAGTGATTTTAAGGCATTTTTATCTTCTATAATTCTTTTTTATTTCAGATAAGCTGGCTCGTTCTCTTTCACCCAAATGCCGAGATTGTCTTCTGTGTACTAGAAAATGGGCTACTGGGTTTCAGCAGCCCAGGAGATCATTGTGTGCTCTGTCTTGTACCTAACCCTAAACCCCACAACACTGGCGCTCCAGATCCATCCAGTTGCTCTGTAAGTTTGCCCCCTCTCTGATAGGCAGAAAGCCATCCAATGGAATCTTCTACATTTCTTGATGGAAATGCTCCCTATTGTCCTGCCCAATACGTCAACAGCCATCTGTCACTACTGAGCACTTAATACATGGCTGGTGTGGTCCAAACCCTACTATTTTGATCAGGTACATTTTAATTGTTTACAATGTAAAAAGCAGTGCGTATCCAAATCAGTGTCCTTCTCTGAGATTTCAAGTGAACTGTCCTCGAATTTTGTTTTCTTTCTTTGACACTTGCCTTTGAAACAGTGACTGTGGCCAGCCCCTCTCCAGACCCCAAGGGAGCAGCTCTCAGTTTCATATTTACAAAATGCTTCCTGCAAGCCCGAGTGGACAACACCTGTGACGACTCAGCGGCGGTGTGAGTCCGGCGAGGACCCCTGCAGGGCTTCTGTGCCATGTTTCACACCTCAGCCTTTCACAGAAACCCATTATTTCTGTCCTCATGAAACATTCTGTGTCCCTGCTCAGCTCCTTTAGGCTTTTATGCATGTTTTTTTTAAATAAGGAGAATTAAGGGGTTGAATAATGGGAAGGTCTTTATTAACTGTGTAAGAAACTCAGACAACACTTTATGGCAGGAAAAAAAATACTAAGAATATGAACCAAAAACATAATTTCTGGGCTGAGGGGTGCAGCTCAGAGACCAGCTCTTGCCTCGCATCCCACAGACCCTGTACTGAGTTCCCAACTGAGACCACCCAGAATCAGAGACCACCCAGCGTCAGAGACCACCCAGCGTCAGAGACCACCCAGCGTCAGAGACCACCCAGCGTCAGAGACCACCCAGCGTCAGAGACCACCCAGCGTCAGAGATCACCCAGCGTCAGAGACCACCCAGCGTCAGAGA